TGGTAGAGCGCTAGCCTTGAGCTGAAGAGCTGAGGGACAGCGCCCAGGCCCAGAGTTCACGACCAGACCCAAAAAAAAAAAAATTAGAATTGACTAGTGGAATAAACTGGTAACATTTATCATTGCAGTTAAGTCTCAGAGCTGCAACAGGTATTTATTTTCTTCCTTTATGAATTTTTTCTTCTCAGGTAGTACATCTCAGAAGCCTTGGTTAGCCACAACTAATCCTATTTGAGATCTAAAGCACAGTTCAAAACCAGCCTGCCAGATAGATGCTGGGTGCTGGTGGCTCACGCCTATAATCCTACTGAGGAGGCTGAGATCTCAGGATCTCAGGTTCAAGGTTCAAAGCCAGCCTGGGCAGGAAAGATCGTGAGACTCTTATCTCCAATAAACCACAAAAAAACGGAGGTGGTGCCGTGGCTCAAACGGTAGAGCGCTCACCTTGAGCTGAAAAGCACAGGGACAGCGCCCAAGCCCAGAGTTCAAGCCCCATGACCGACAAAAAAAAAAAAAAAAAAAAAAAAGCCTGGCAGGAGACTCTTATCTCCAAATAACCAGCAAAAAGCCAGAAGTGGAGTTGTGGCTCAAGTGGTAGAGTGCTAGCCTTGAGCAAAAACAGCTCAAGGACAGTGCTCAGACCCTGAATTCAAGCCTCAGGACTAGCACACAAACAAAATACTCCCAACAAAATCATCTGGGTCATTTGTAAAATGAGGTTGAGTGACAATGAAACACTGTTCATCTCTACCTCAATAGTCCGACACCAGCCTCATGAGAGGAAATAGGGTCATGGCCACCTGAAAAGCTCCTGCAGGTTGCAAAACTTCACTAGGTTTGGTTGTTTGAGGTTAGACTTCTGGGATGTGGATACTTTTCCTCTTCTCCACAATCATCTCCCTTCCCATTGGTTCCACACAACCCCAACACCTACTAGAGTACAGCCTAGGAATTTATCAGTAGTCTTCTTCCAAGTACTGTTTTAACACTGGTGGTGTTTAAATAGTAGGATCTATGAGAATTAGTTTGAAGGCATAGTATAACCTTTTATCCAAAGTGGATTAACTTCTTAGTCTGCCAGCCTTCCATTTACAACTTTCATTAACTAGCACATCATCTAATTCTTGGAAGCTTAGAGCTTTGCTGAGTAACAAAAGCTCCAAGACTTTTTACCTGTAGACTTCCTATTTTCTTCAACATGTAACAAATCCAGATATTAAGTTGTGGGCCATGACCATCTTTAGGAGCCCTTCTGATTGGAGTGGATAAATCTAGTTACTCCTCAGAAGCCGGTAGGGATTCATGGCATGCCTCCCATCTATCTCAACAGCAGGCTGCTTATTCAACCAGCCCTGCACTCCACTTAAACTCTTCCCTCTTCACAATGAAGAGAGCACTGAACTACATGGTTCTAGATCACATCAATGACTTTTGTTTTTTTTTGTCAGTCATGGCGCTTGAACTCTGGGCTTGGGCACTGTCCCTCAGTTCTTCAGCTCAAGGTGAGCGCTCTACCACTTGAGCTACAGCGCCACTTCCAGTTTTCTAGTGGTTTATTGGAGATAGGAGTCTCCCGGTCTTTCCTGCCCAGGCTGGCTTTGAACCGCGATCCTCAGATCTCAGCCTCCTGAATAGCTAGGATTACAGGGGTGAGCCACTGGCGCCTGGCATCAATGACTTTTATAAAGCATTTTCCTCTTTCATTGGACAGTGGTGGTCCCAGCCTTTGTACCTAGGGACCTAAGTAACTGGAAGAGCATAAACTGCTACAATAATATACATGACTATTTCATTTTAAACATGGGATAATAATTGGTCTACACTGTTGTAGATGTTTCATGGACTTTCCTGTCTGGGCTGGCTTTGAACCATGATCTCAGATCTCAGCCTCCTGAGTAGCTAGGATTACAGTCATGAGCCACCAGCGCCTGGCTCATCACTACTTATTAAAACCTTAATTTGACAGCTGGGTGCTGGTGGACTATACTGGTAATCTTAGCTACTCAGGAGGCTGAGATCTGAGGATCACTGTTCAAAGCCAGCTTAGGAAAATATGAGAAACCCTTACCTCAAATTAACCACTGGAAAACCAAAGTGGAGCTGTGGCTCAGCGGTAGAACACTAGCCTTGAGTGAAAAAGCTCAGGGACAGTGCCTAGGCCCTGAGTTCAAGCCCCACAACCACAAAAAAAAAAAAAAAAAAAACCCTCAGAGACAAAGCTCAGGCTGAGTTCATGTTCCACGTCAGACAACAGACAAATGCAGATCTTAATCCTTCCCTTAGAAAATAAAATGAACAAGGGGCTGGGAAGGTGGCTCAGTGGTAGAGCGCTTGCCTTGCATGCATGAGGCCCTGGGTTCGATTCCTCAGCACCACATAAGCAAAAAGAAAAAAGCCGGAAGTGGCGCTGTGGCACAAGTGGTAGAGCGCTAGCCTTGAGCTGAAGAGCTGAGGGACAGTGCCCAGGCCCAGAGTTCAGGCCCCACGACCGGACCCCCCCCCCCCCCAAAATAAAAGAAAGAAAATAAAATGAACAATAAGTATGTCATAGTACAGTTTAACATTAGGGACTTTATAAATGACCGCTAACTATAAACAAGTTGAAACGCAAACACAAGTTGACATAAAACACTTTAAGAACTTTAGGAAAAGACTGAAAAACAATGGTGATAGGTTTCTTAGTAATTTGGGATTTCTACCTGACCTGTCACTTTCCTTGAAGCATAGGATTCCTTAAGGAAGGTTCTACCGGAAGTGGCGCTGAGCTCAAGTGGTAGAGCGCTCGCCTTGAGCTGAAGAGCTGAGGGACAGCGCCCAGGCCCAGAGTTCAAGCCCCACGACCGACAAAAAAAAAAAAAAGGAAGGTTCTACCTAGAGATTGTTTCCTTGGAATCCAGTATACTCTTATTTTGGTTTAACTGGAAGACACTTTCAGCCTTTCAAGCTTAACTGCAGAATTCCTTGTTTATGACAGAAGTGTTGACTTCAAACAGATGAAACTGAGCCAAGTGGCCAGAACTGCCGAGCAGGAATCTGACTGCCCATAATTGTCCACTGCCACGGTCTTAAGGGCTGCCAATCACTTAAAGAAAATGAAAAAAGTCCTCGTTTTACCTCTCATATTAAGTCTTAGATTCTGAAACAGGAAGCTAGAAAGCAGGAGAGTCTAGAGAAATAGTTAACAATCATATGAACTGTGTTAAGAGAAAAACAGCAAAAAGCAAATCACCACCTAAAGCTCCCACTGACTCATCAGTTTAAATTGTCTACTTCAATTCTAGAGACCATCCTATGTAACTCAGACCCATTATTGCATAAAACGGAAAATCTACCAGGTAGCATATTCCTGCCTCTAGGCAGAGAAAAAAGAAAAAACCAGCTGTAACACATGGAAAAATCCTTTATTTTCATATGTACATTAAACACAGAAATTCCATTGCCTTGTTTTCAAGCCAGATGCGAGGATACATACAATGACAAGATATTTTGGATTTGCTGAATTTCAAACTCTAAAATGGAAGAACAATTTTGAAGACAGGGGTAAAGAAACAGAGGGGCAGGGACCCTGGTGGTGCCGAGGAGACTAGAGCCTAGGTTTTAAATGAAGTCTGCTACAAAAGTGGGGGTGACAGTAAGAGATAGAACAGGCCTTACTTTTTCTTTTGGGTTAAGATAGGGTCTTCTTCAGTAGCCCAGGCTGGCCTAAGACTTGAAATCTTTCTGACTCTACTTCCAGAGTTCTGGGGATTACAGGTGTGTGTTACATGCTTGGCCTGAAGTTTTCTTTTTCTCTTTTTTCCAGTGCAGAGACCAATCCTCAGCACCAAAATCCAAATTTAGAATTGCAAAATTTAAATGATTGGGAATATTTGACATCTATTCAACTTCCTTGGTTAAAAGTCCCCTAGTTCCTACTCTTGGAAAAAACAACTAACATCAACTGATATAAACTGACTTGCACAAGATAAGTTAAATCCTAATTCTGCTCTATCTGCATCCTCTCTGTGGCAATCTATTGCAGTCAAATTAGTTTTATCTTTTTTTTTGGGGGGGGGGGGGTGGGGGTCAAGGTAGGGTGGTGAGTCTTGCTAGGTACATTATGCTGGCCTCAAACTCACTATATAGCCAACAACTGAACTTGAATTGAGACCTTCCTGGCCTCAGATTCCCAGATCATAGAAGTGTACCATATCACTAAACATGCCACTATATAGTGCTTGCATTTTGCTTTTCAATTCAAATACTATTTTGCCACTGAAGCTCCAGGCTTCAACATATCAAGAATTAACTTCCCAGAGAAAGGTGGGCTTTCCACAGGCTATGAAAGCTGGCTTTTAAAAAGATATCCTTAAAAATAAAACATCCTCAAAAATAAAATATCCTCAAATGTGTTTTACTAAAAGACATAGCTAGAACTTGGAACTCTGGGGAAATCTACTCTAACAATCCCTTAATAGTAAGAAATATCTTGGTAATAGCTCAGGAATTTATAGTCTGAATTGTTATAAAAAGGTACTATCTCATAACAGTTACTTAAGAGAGTCACATTAATAGCCATACTGCTGTTCCTTAAGAACACGGACTTGCTCATACCTTGAGGCAAGTCCCAATGGATAGTGGTTTAGCAGAACAGCAGAGTGGATGAATAGAACCCGAGTATCTACTGGGCTCCCCAAGTTGAATAATCCAGGACAGGAATGAAAGTTGGTAGGTACCTTCCTGTTACTGATAGGTCTTCAATCACTATCATCTTTCTGTGAACAAAAATTTCACCAATGCTTCCAGAGAAGATTAGGTACTTAGAATCAAACATCAGGTTCATATAGGAAAGCCTTGGGAATTATAAATACTTAAAAAACAACTTCTAACTTCAAAAAGATTGGTCCTATTAAGATAGGTACTTTACCTCGGGGAAGGGAGGGAGGGAGGGGATGGTAGGGGGAAAACAATGGAGGGGGTAACAATGTTCAAGAGGAAGTGTACTCATTACCTCACTCATGTAACTGTAACCCTCTGTATAGTAGCTTTACAATAAAATAAAATTTAAAAAAAAAAAAAAGATAGGTACTTTATCAAAATGAGACAGGCCCTCCCCCTCATTATACACAACAGTCTGAAAAACTTAGTCTAGTATTAGGGAAGACTCAAGTAAAAGCTTTGTCATGCCACTTCGTTTTTTTCCCAGCAAGAAGGAAATAGTCATTAAAGCACTCACTGTCTTTGATAAAACCCTGAGATCCTAAGCTAGGTAGAAGATAGTATTTCCCTATTGCTCAAACAACTGGTCCTCCTTAACAATAATAATGCAACAAACTGGCCATTAATTAAGTCAGGTTCTATATAGACAACCAGTCACCTTTATTCATCACAGGACTTGCCAACATCCTAGCACTGGGTGGCTGTAAAATGACTTTGTTACTACAAAGCACACAATATACAACACACATTTCTGTGGGGGATAAGACCAAGTTACCAATTGGTTACCAGCCTGTAAACTCAGTAATAAATCAAACCTACAGAGTTCTACAGTGCCCTCTTGTGTTCGATGGAAGGAAAACCTCTGCGTGCAAGCAAATCACTTTCTAGGATGTAGCTCTCCCAAGCCAATAGACAACTGAGGTCATATACTCCAGAAAATGTTTGATACACATACACAAACTACTGCTGAGAAGACTCACCAAGGTCCATCAGATCTTAGAAAATAAAAATTCCCAGCAAAGATACATGAATATTTTAACCCAAGAAATGAAGATAGATAGAGTACCACTTACTCTTTAAATGGATACAACAGATGCACAATTGCATACACACAACAGACAACACAGTGTCTTAGTGGCCCTTAAGTTCTAAATTTACAATAATCCAAATGAACTATGATCTTACAAGTTCTAGTTTGTAGGCAATAAGCAGAGATTTCAGGGTTGCTAGATGCTATAAACAACATTTAACATTAACCATGAGTCTGAAAGTCTCATGACCATGATCACTCCCATTTATAGATATGGACAGTCTTCTCAGTTAAAGTAGCCAAATAGCTGTTATGATTCACATCAAATGGGCAGATGTCCAAGACAGGCTGATCACACTTCAGGGTCTGCAGTATTGAGCCACTGCAAGCACTCCACAGCTAAAGAAATAAAGCAAAAACATCAGCAGTCAGTTCAGCTGAGGAGTAACTGCCCTAACAATGGAGTTCTTCATTTTCACTTACTACATACATTTCAAGTACTCATGTGGCTAGTATGATTGTATTGGACAGCACTGCTTAGACTTACTTATACAAGATCAAGAATTTCACAATACCATGCCTTCATATGATCTTATGTTAAAGAGCTATATTATTTCTGGCTCACATTCACAGTTATGTTTAGATTGGCCAATACGTTCAGGTGGCAACAGGTTATCCGTCCACTATAAATTTCTCCATCATCTGTTAATTTCATTCTAAACTAATGAACTTAATGTCTTAATTATTTTAGAGGTTTCAGTTTGGTTTTTATTTTCTTAGTGCTAGTCCTTGGACTTAACTCAGGGCCTAAGGTTCTTTTTACTCAAAGCTACTAACTACTTGAAACCACAGCTCCACTTATGGCTTTTTTTTTTTGGTGGTAATTTAGTAGAGATAGTCTTACATTAATTGGCAAGTGCAAGGCCCTGAGTTTGGCCAATAAAGAAAAAAAACAAAAAAACAAAAACAGGGGAAGTAACAGTAATCTTAAAGAACAAGACAGATTTTGTTGTTTTGTTTTTTTTGCAGAGATGATGCATCCTTTATTTTTAGCCAGACTCTGGTGGCTCAGACCTGTAACCATAATGCTAGCTACTCAGGAGGCTGAGATCTGAGGATCGCAGTTTGAAGCCAGCCAGGGCAGGAAAGCCCATCAGACTCTTATCTCCAAATAACTGCCGAAAATGGTACAAAGTGTAGCTCAAAGTGGTAGAGGGCTAGTCATGAGTAGAAAGCTCAGGTACAGCACACAGGGCCTGGGTTCAAGCCCCATGGCTGACCAAAAAAAAAAAAAAAAACCATCAAAACTCTCACCTGCTTTCCTGCCTAGGCTGGCTTTGAAATGTGATGCTCAAATCTCAGCCTTCTAAGTAGCTTAATATTGGAGTTGTTGAGCCACCAGTGGCCAGCTTTCAGTATATTTTTTTTTTTTTAAATAATTTAAAAAATAATTCTGGGCTGGGAATTTGGCTTAGTGATAAAGTGCTTGCCTAGCATGCATGAAGCCCTGGGTGTGATTCCTCATTACCACATAAAACAGAAAAAGCCGGAAATGGGGCTGTGGCTCAAGTGCTAAAAGCACTAGCCTTGAGTACAGACAGTGCCCAGGCCCTGAGTTCAAGCCCCAGGACTGGCAAAATAAAAAAAATCCCTCCAGCCCCCCAAAACAAAAAACCCAGCGCGCGCGCACACACACACACACACACACACACACACACACACACACACACACACACACACACACACACACACACACACACACACACACACACGCACGATTATAGAGCAGAACTTTTACATACCTCTGAACAAAAATGCTCAAGATTTTCTCTATCAACATTGTACAAAAAGAAAATTTTGGGGTAGTGCTGAGGATTGAACCCAAGGGTCTCACACATATAAGGCAGATGCTCTACCACTAAGTCACATCCTAGTTCCCAAACTGTAAAAGATAATAGGCTCACCTGGGCAGAATTTGTTGCTTCATCTCCAGTACACACCAAGATGCTGCCATCATTCACTGGGCTTTGGAAAATAGCATTTTTGGTCAATAGTTTGCAGGTGGGTCCCCCAAGGAATGTCTGCACAGGTTGGCAGGAGCAGAGTGTCTCTCCAGTATCACCCACTTTGTAGGATAGTTCCATCAGTACACTTCGTATGGTCTTGTGGATTTTATCTATAGAACAGAGAAATCAGTGCTTCCCCATGGAGAGGGTACTAAAGAAATTAATGAAGAAAAAGAACAGAAACTACCAACCCTCAGGGTTGGAGGAATGGTTCAGTTAGTAGAGCCAGCCAATGAGCAAAGTATCATTTCCTGTCTTACAACAAAGGGAGAGAAAAAAAAATGAATGGCATACCTAAATCGTAGGCATTTACAACAGTTAAGTTGGACAGAAAAGCTGTACATACACGAAACGGTAAGCATACCTGCAAGTGCAAGCTAGAGTCAAGCAAGTTTTCTACAGTAGGTTTTGCCTATTCTTTTTTCTTATGTGTGGGATTTGAACTCTGAAGTTCTGCTTTTGTTCACAACTTGAGCCACATCTCCACTTTCAGCATTTATCTGCCTGAGCTGGCATGGAACCAAGATCTAGATTTTAGGCTTCCTGAGTGGCTAGTTTTAAGTTACTAGCACCCAGCTAAGAGCAAATTTAAGACTGCAGTATTGTTTTTTAGTGAAATCATTGAATCCAGATCTCCGCTCAGCAAAATATCATTCCAGAGTTCTGGCTAAAAACTTCTTTTAGGAGTTGGGAAGGTGGCTCAGTGGTAGAGTGCTTGCCTAGTAGGCCTGAAGCCCTGGGTTCAATTCCTCAGTAGCACATACACAGAAAAAGCTGAAGTGGCACTGTGGCTCAAGTGATAGAGTGCTAGCCTTGAGCAAAAAGCAGCTGAGGGACAGTGCCCAGGGTCTGAGTTCAAGCCCCTAGCAAAACTAAAAACAAAAAAACTTTTAGGCACAATGAGGAGTCCATTAGTTCCTAGAGACATTTTCTTTTTTCTTTTTTTCTTGTTTTTTGTCAGTTATAGGGCTTGAACTCTGGGTTTGGGCACTGTCCCTGCGCTCTTCAGCTTAAGGCGAACACTCTACCACTTGAGCCACAGCGCCACTTCCAGTTTTCTAGTGGTTTTTATTGGAGATAAGAGTCTCATGGACTTTCCTGCCTGGGCTGGCTTTGAAACTGGATCCTGAAATCTCAGCCTCCTGAGTATGGATTACAGGCATGAGCCACCAGCGCCCGGCTCCTAGAGACATTTTCTAAGATAAAAGCCTGTAAATTACAGAAGTGTATCAGAGATCCTGAGGGAGGCAAACACAAGCTAGAGAACAAAACTGGACTCCCCAGGGTTGGGAATGTGGCTTATTGGTAAGAGTGCTTGCCTATCATGCATGAAGCCCTGAATTTGATTCCCCAGTACCACATGAACACAAAAAAGGTGTAAGTGGCATTGTGGCTCAAGTGGTAGAGTACTAGCTTGACCATGAACAAAGAGGCTCAAGGACAGTGTCCAGGCCCTGAGTTCAAGCCCCAGGACAAAAAAAAAAAAACAAAACCCTGGACCCCTAAGCTTTCTGTACAAGTTACAGTATGATTTGATAAGAGCCAAAAGTGTCCAAAGAGTCAACCTGAGATAGTTTCCCAGCTTAAATATTATATATTTAAATTATATATATTAAATACTATATATTTAAATAATATAAAAGTGTGGGCACTTTAATGACTAACTCCAACCAACCATCTGTCTTGTCATACATTAGCAGAGGTATCATTTTCAGACCAAACCTAAGTTTGAAAGTCAGTTTTATACTGACTTCTTTCTTCTAGTTCAACCTGTCCTTCCCCTGAGTTCTCGATTTGTGTAGCTACTTGTTCCTGATCCCACTGACTCAAAACTCAACATGTTTCCTGTTGTCAACAGTAGTTATAAAAATGTTTTTTGGGTTTGTTAGTACTAGGGTTTGAACTCAGAGTCTGGAAGTGCTAGGCTAGTGTTCTACTACCACTTGAGCTATATTTCCAGAATTGCTTTTCCAGATGGGAGTCTATCAAAATTTTCTACAAGGCTAAAGAGGGACACATGGTCACTTAACATGAGGACAGGATAAGTAACTATCTCCTGAGAGCTGGGATTGTGGCTCAAGAGGTAGAGCATCTGCTTCAAAGCACTAATTAAACAAGTGGTAGAGTGCTGCCTTGAACACAAAAGCTCAAGGATAGAGCTCAGGCCCTGAGTTCAAGTCCCAGTCCCAGCACCAGAAAAAGAAAGGAAAAAGAAATTGATCTTAAAATGACTCAAAGTCCTTAAGAGGAAGTATTTTAAGATACAGGGAATCCTAGAGAAACTATCCCTAATTATCCATCTATTTGTTCCAATTCTCAGTTAAGAACAGAAAAACAGGCTCTACACAGGAACATGGAGCCATCATCCTTATTGTAGCATCAATAACAGGCCTTTTAGTCTATGAGGAGCCAAAGGCAAGGCCAAGAACTTCTTTCCCCTCTACCACCATTCTGCTCCCAAACAAATCAGAAGGCCCCCAAGGACCTCAGCACTTACCAGGTCTGTAGCTTACAAGACAGTGTCGGGTTCTGTTCTCTATCTGAAAGTCTACATAGCCCCCTGGTTCCATTTGTAGCACATGAGGCCAGTGAGAAAAATCAGATTTCTGTTCCCAGAAGGAAGCATTCTCCAAGGTTCCAGCAAGTACCCCACCATAAGGAAATGCAGCTGAAGCAGCTCTGGTCATGTATGACAGGGATACCAGTGGGCATCTGAAGAAGGAAAAGGAATCATGTGTTACAAAGGTGGTGTGGGGGTCGAGGGACCGCTGATGCCTGTAATTCTAACTACCCAGGTGGCAGACACCTGAGAATAGCAGTGCAAAGCCAGGTTGGGCAGGAAAGTTTTTGAGACTCTTATTCCAATTAACAACCAAAAACCAAAGTGGAGCATGGCTCAAGTGGCAGAGCCCCAACCTTGAGCAAAAAATGCATTACTGAAGAGGCAAAGGCAGGAGGGTTGTAGCTTCAGGTCAAACTAGGTTAAAAAAAAAAGACACTATCTGAAAAATCACTAATAGGAGTGGGGTGAAGGGACAAGGTGGCATTACTCAAGTGGTAGAATGCTTGCCTATCAAGTTATCAAGCATACAGCCAAGCCCCAGCATTGTTTAAAAAAAAAAAAAAAAATCTGAGCCAAGCACCAGTGGCTCACACTTCTGACTTGTAATACCAGCTCCTCAGGAGGCTGAGACCCCCAGGAATGCAGTTAGAAGCTGGCCCAGGCAGGATGGTCTATAAGACTCTTATCTCCAACAAAGACTAAACAAGATACTTTTCATTTAGTCCTGGAAATGAATGTCAGTGGTAAAAGTGTTTTCCTAGCATATAGGACCCTGTGCTCTAAATGTACTATTGCAAAAAAGGGAGGGAAAGAAAAAAAGCTTTGAATTTTGACTAGGTTAACAGACCTTATTCACTTTCTGACAGCTTCAAAAATCTCCAGGAACAAACCACCGTAAGTACTGAGATGGATTCAGCATTATGTCCTAAACCCGTAACTGAGTTATAAATGACAAATCAGTAATATGGTATTTTCAGACAAAATTGTTCTTAAGCTCGAGTCAACACATCTTCAGCCTAGCTTTATGTGGTTTATTTTTTGCAATCTATATAGACTTTTATCTCCAGGCTGGTTTCAAATCATGATCCTCTGGATGTCAGCTTCCTGACTGGTAATGATTACAGGTGTCTGTCTTAAATCATTGAGGTTATTTTATCAATTTGTTTTGTGTGCTAGCACACATGGAATACTACAGCATCCATGTAAAGGAGTCCTATGGCTACTAAAGTCTTTGTTAAACGTTTAATAGGCCAAGAAACATGACCAAGACTACACAGTTCATAAATAGTGGAGCTAGATTCTAAATAAAGATATGATTTCTATTTTGCCGTGTTAGATTAATATTATTCTATAAACTTGGCTACATTTGATACCAGAGTTTTCCATAACTGTGAAAAATTAAACAAATTGTACTGACTTTGAGGTGGGGAAACATCAGATCTTAAGAGAATTGCTGACCAGTTACGGACACTGAGAACCATTACAAACATAATTCAAGACAAAGCAGTTTCCCATAGAAAAAAGGAAGTGGCTCCCTACCTGGCTTTCTGAGGTACTAATTCCTGCATATGAAAGCCCGTGTTTCGAAGATCATATACCAGAATTGAACCATTGGCCAGTCCAGCATAAATGTAATTGTTTTCATCAAGACACCAGCAACAACTCCATACAGGGCGTCCAGTATTGTAAGTCTGAACCACAGTATTTGTCTCCAGGCTGTAGAAGTAACAAAAATTTTTACTACAGGGAGGCAAAGATTATCCAAGTATCAATAATCCTTACTGAAAACATACCCATAACCTCAAACTATCTGGATCCCTAATTTCCTCATAGTACTGCCCAGAGAGCCCTTCTGAATTCTGAAACTTTTGTTGGTGTTTTGAGGACCACCAGCTTTCTTCTTAAACTCTAAGGAAATAAGTGACTAAGTTAAAAAAATTATGATCAATCATCCTGATACTTAATACTGTCCCCATTTTAAACACTTAAAACACACACAAACAAAGTTACACTAAAGTTTTGTCCAAAATTAACCTTAAGCTTTATTTTTTCTTTCTTTTTGGTGCCCGTACTGGGGCTTAAACTCAGGGCCTTTCACGCTAACTTGTTGCTTTGAGGCTTGTGCTCTACCACTTAAGCCATACCTCCATGCCCAGCTTTTTTTGGACAGTTGTGGGGCTTGAACTCTGGGCCTGGACACTGTCCCTCAGTTCTTCAGCTCAAAACGAATGCTCTAGCACCTGAGCCAGAACACCACTTCTGGTTTTTGGAATGGTTTACTGCAGATAAGAGTCTCACGGACTTTCTTGACTGGAGTGGCTTTGAACCACAGTCTTCAGATCTCAGCCTCCTGAGTAACTAGGATTACAGGTGTGAGCCACCAGCGCCCAAGCATGCCCAACTTTCGCTGGTTAACTATATAGTCTCATTGATTTTCTTGCCTGGACTGGCTTCAAACCACAATCCTCACATCTCAGCCTCCCAAGTAGTTAGGATAACATCTGTGAGATACCAGTGCTTTAAAAAAGTCAAAAAAGAAAGTCAAAAGAGCCAGAAGTAGTGACATATACCTGAATCCTAACTACAAGAGAGGTAAAGACTGACTGACAAAACCACATCCTGAGCTTAGCATGACCACAAATTAGTGAGATGGCATCTAAACCAATAATCTAGATATGGTTGTGTATGCTGCTTGTGATCTCAGGGCACACAGGAGGCTGGCTATCTGTGGGAGCACTATAGTCTAAGACAGATCCCAGGTAAAAGTACATGAAAAACAGCCCGGGCCATTTGTGTCACACCACAATCTCAGATCTCAGTCTCCATAGTAGCTAGGATTACAGTAGCTACCAGCACTCTTAAAACTACTTTCTAAACTGGGCAACGGTAGCTCACACCTGTAATCCTAGCTACTCAGGAGGCTGAGATCTGAGGATCATGGTTCAAGCCAGGCTGGGCAGGAAAGTCCGTGAGGCTCTTATCTCCAATTAACCACCAGAAAATCAGAAGTGGTGCTATAGAGCTCAAGTGGTAGAGCCCTTGCCTTGAGCTGAAAAGCTCAGGGACAGTGCCGAGACCTCAGAGTTCAAGCCCCAGGACAAAAAAACAAAACCCCCCAAAAACACAAAACTACTTTCTAAAAGACAAAAGCACAGAACAAGCCCAGATCTGATTCACATTACTAAAAGCATTTAAAAGACAAAAATGCCATCATAGCTGGGCATAGGTGGCTCATGCCTGTAATCCTAGCTAATCAGAAGGTTCATGAGATCTGAGGATCATGGTTCAAAGCCAGCCCAGGCAGGAACACCTGTGAGACTCTTATCTCCAACTAACCACCAGAAAACCAGAAGTGGCACTGTGACTGAAGTGGTAGAGTATGAGCCTTGAGCTGAAAAACTCAAGGACCAGGCCCATGCCCAGAGTTCAAGCCCCACAATAAGGAAAAAAAAAAATCTATCATGTCAATCAAGGAAAATAATGCCTGGTAACCAATCATCTTTGTTAGGCAGAACTATCTAGGTAACAGACCAGAAATATGCAGTCCTAAGCGATTATAATAATTTTTTTTTTTGGGGGGAGTCCGGTCTTGGGACCTGAACTCTGGGCCTGGGCCCTGTCATTCAGCTCTTCAGCTCAAAGCTAGTGCTCTACCACTTGAGCCACACAGCGCCACTTCCGGCTTTTTTCTTTTTGCTTATGTGGTGCTGAGGAATTGAACCCAGGGCCTTATGCATGCAAGACAAGCGCTCTACCACTGAGCCACCTTCCCAGCCCCCTATTATAGTAATTCTGATGCAACATACCAATGATTCCTAGATACTGTCATGCTAAAAATCTCTCAAATATTACTCTCATTTGCACAATAACAAAAAAAAATTTTTTGGTCCGGTCATGGGGCCTGAACTCTGGGCCTGGGCGCTGTCCCTCAGCTCTTCAGCTCAAGGCTAGCGCTCTACCACTTGAACCACAGCGCCACTTCCGGCTTTTTTCTTTTTGCTTATGTGGTGCTGAGGAATCGGAACCCAGGGCCTCAGGCATGCAAGGCAAGCGCTTTAACCACTGAGCCACCTTCCCAGCCCCACAATAACACATTTTGTAAAATACATTTTAACAATACTTATATATTTAGTAACTTGTTCTGTCTACTTTTAAGAGAATATAAAATGCCTCAGATCAGCAAGAGGGAGCTAAAGGTACCTTCAACATTGATATTAATTCAATACAGTGGGGCTAAGGCCCCACCTTCTCTTCATTCACTCACCTGGTCAGTTTAATAGTGTTGTCTAGTGAAGCAGAGAGCAGTAAACCTCTGGACTCCTGGTTGAAGGCCAGTCCACGGATCTGTTTGCTATGCATTGGAATGTACTGACTGCTTTTCATATTGGCAGTACTTAACATCTTTACACCAAAGCCTACCAAAGAAAAGTAACAGTAACTTTCAGTTATATGCAAAAGCGAATTACTAAAAACAATGTATTGCTTCTTTAAATTGTTGTACAATGAGATTTCAATTCAATATGCCAGTTTGAGCACATCTTGAAAGTATTCCCCAGTGTTATAACTTACATGCCCCAAACAAAAGTCAACCCTCCTTCAAACCAAAACAAAAAAATAAATAAATAAATATTTTTTTTTTTTGGGGGGGGGGGGGTCAGTAATGGGGCTTGAACTCTGGGTCTGGGTGCTATCCCTCAGCTCTTCAGCTCAAGGCCAGTGCTCTACCACTTGAGCCACAGAGCCACTTCGGTTTTCTGGTGGTTAATTGGAGATAAGAGTTTCACAGATTTTCCTGCCTGGGCTGGCTTTGAACGGTGATCCTCTGATCTTAGCCTCCTGAGTAGCTAGGATTAGAGGTGGAAGCCACCGGCACCCGGCTACAAGTTTAACATTAACTGAATAAAAACTAGTAAGAGAGCTGGGTGCCAGTGGCTTACATCTGTAATCCTAGCTACTCAGGAAGCTGAGATGGGAGGATTATGGTTCAAAGTCAGCCTGGGCAGGAAAGTCCGTGAGACTCTTAAGAGAAAATAAACAGAATCCAATAATAGATATGAAGTTAAGGTTTTTTGGGGTTTTTTTGTTTTTGTCAGTCCTGGGACTTGAACTCAGGGCCTGGGCACTGTCCTTGAGCTTCTTTTGCTCAAGTCTAGCACTTTACCACTTGAGCCACAGCACTACTTCCGGCCTTTTCTGTTTATGTGGCACTGAGTAATCGAATTCAGGGCTTCATGCACGCTAGGCAAGCATTCTACCACTAACCCACATTCCCAGCCCTAGTCAAGGTTCTTGATTATTTACCTGGAAGGAAGGCAGCCTGAGGAGAAGGCTGTGAGATCGCCAAGCAGCTCAGGGCATCAGAATATGCCATGATTCGGCAATTTCCTGTCTGAGACACTGTAAAGTTCTTTTGAAAGTGGTACTTATGCTGTCCCTGGCTGAAAGCCAGGCATGTTGGAGGACTACCTTGGGAGCACCCAGGTTGCCGTAAAATCTGGTCCCGGTGCCATACAATAAGTTTTTGCAAGTCCTGAAAATGAAAGGTTTTGTGAATGCAAAGCTTTCTCAAGTATAATTTCTTGCTCTGATAAACTATTTCTTGTCCATTACATATGAAAATATTACAATGAACACTAGAAAACTGTGTTTTTATAGTACTTTTAATAATCAACTATAGTAAGGAGAACACATCAAATATGGAGATTGAAAGCCCTTGGTTATGTTGTCTAAATGCCTAACTTTACTAATAGTAGATTTCAGGAAGGTAAATCATTCAGGGAAGTTTTTTCAGCTGTCTATTTGTTTCAAGGGCAGGCATTGGTGGCTCATGCTATAATCCTAGCTATTCGCGAGGCTGAAATCTGAGAATCATGGTTCAAAGCCATCCTAGGCAGAAAAGTCCAAGAGATTCTTCTCTAACCATCAAAAAGCTGGAATTGGAATTGTGCCTCAAGGGGAAAGAGCACCTGCCTTGACCGAAAAAGCTAAGCCCAAGGTGGAGCTCCAATATCAGCACGTTTCATTCAAATACCTTAACCATAAAGAAAATGTAGATGACAGCGCCAGTGGCACAGGCTTATAATCCTACTCAGGAGTCCTTAGGGACTGTGGGTCAAAGCCAGCCCCAGGCAGAAAAGTCTGTAAGACTTTTTTTTTTGGTCCAGTTCTGGGGCCTGAACTCGGCCTGGGCGCTGTCCCTCAGCTCTTCAGCTCAAGGCTAGCGCTCTACCACTTGAGCCACAGCGCCACTTCCGGCTTTTTTCTTTTTGGTGATGTGGTGCTGAGGAATCTAACCCAGGGCCTCATACCTGCAAGGCAAGTGCTCTAGCACTGAGCCACCTTTCCAGCCCCAAAAATACTTTTAAAGTTAGGTCTATTAGCCATAAAAAAATGTTGCATTCTTCAGATGAACACTTTTCTTGCTTATGCCTCACAACAAAAAAAGAAAACAAAAGCAACCCAAAAAACTTGCTAGATCAGACTGGTTATTCTCCTAATTAAACACATACCATATTAAAAAAATGGTAGTTTATAAATTGATTAAACATCAACGAATAAATGCAGACTTTTCAAGTGCATGTGTTCACATGTGTGTCTCCATGTGTGGTGTGTCTAAACTGAGTGATGGTGTACTGGGGGGGGGAGGGAGGAGGGCAGGGAAGAAACCTAGATCTCAACATGATTCATTTGGAACTCTGGAGCCATTTACGAAGGACTACTCCAGTGCTACTACACAGAGAGTTACCACCCACTGTCCACCAGATGGGCACATTATACATCATTGAAGAAAATAATCTGAAAGATAAAAACACAGACCACATCCATTGTCTTCATCATTGCTACAGGTCCTGCTTTTTCTATTTGAACTGTTTTTGTGATAAACATCTGACCACCCCCAAAATCTAGGAGCCTGAGATGAATATGAAACACAACCTGTCCAACTCAGTTAGGCAGACTTCCCTCCCCAATTATAAAGAAGACAACAATGCTTTCAAGAAGGCCAAGCATGACATAATACCAAATGCTGAGAAAATTAGTCCACGGATTTTCCTATTTTCCTCAGGATAACTAGTCATTGTAGCAAACAAATCATGTCCAATGGCTGCAAATGTCCCTTTAAGGTGGACGGAGTAGTTTTTTCCACCCCTGTAGTAATGGAACCAAGCAAAAATGGTGGCCTCACAATAAGGATCACTCGGTGATGGTGAACAAGATGAAGAAAGCATCCCAAAGGCTGTATTTTCCCCTTGAGAAATAGGCCATCAAATAGCAATGTAAACACTGGGCAGCTAAAGGCAATGATTAGCTCTGTAAGGGACATTATCTGGAAAGCACAGTACATAAGGGCCATGGCAGTAAAACCAAGCAATCCTCTGAGAAGGAGGAAAAGTCGTTGACCTTTTAGGCCTATAAAACCAGTTTTTCTGTGCTGGGAAAGTGGCTCAGTGGTAGAGTGCTTGCCTTGCTTGCACGAGTCCCTGGGTTAGATTCCTCAGCACCACATAAGCAGGAAAAAAAGGGCAGAAGTGGCGCTGTGGCTCAAGTGGTAGAGCACTAGCCTTAAGCTGTAGAGCTGAGGGACAATGCCCAGGCCCAGAGTTCAGACCCAACGACTGGTTAAAAACAAACAAACAAACAACAAAACTTGATAAAAACCAGTTTTTCTGTATATTAAGCAAGGAATAATAACTAGCATCTGGAACACACATGGAAATGCATTAACTACAGCCTGAATGTCTAGTACTTTCTTAACAAATGAAGAGGCCACTGAGAAAAGGAAGGTATACAATAATGCACAAAACAAGCCAAATCCAAAACAGGGCTCAGAGCTCCAGCTGCACTGCAAGGAACAAAGAACCAGCACCTGCGGCTCCTGGGGCATCCACCTGCTGAGCTGTCCGCCTGCGGTGGCAGTATGTGGCAGGCGGCAGCCCTCCAAGTCAGCCGCACCCCAGGCGCTCTCAGGGCCCCATGTTGCAGCTCATGCCCTCGCCACACTCTTGTTCCAGCTGCAGCCGCTTGGCCACGCTCCATTTCCTTTCTTTTTAAAAACACTCACCTGTACACGATCATGAAGTTTAGTGCATTCATCAGTGAGGACCTGAAGTTGCAGGCGACACTGTGCAGATTCTAACTCTGCCTTCTTCCTGAGTGTTTGTTCCTTCAGTAAGTCACTAGAAGGGAAAAGTAGTAACAGTTGGGGATTAGGAAGCCTACAACAGACTCCATCAAGATAGCATAGTAAATCCATACTATGATACACATATTTTACTGTAAATGCCATAAAAGTGACTAAAATATAAAGAGAAAAAACTCTATAGTCTAGAAATGCTACAGGAGAGTATCAATTAGCACTAAACTTAGCCTACTTGGGTTTTGCTGAAGCCAATAGTTATGGCCAAGAATTTGATTCTACATAAGCAAAATGAAGGAATCAACTCACTGCTTCAGCTAAGGAAAATTATAAACGATTAAGTTTTCAGGATAAAAGTCCAAGATAAGCTGGAGACTGAAACCTCCTGGATACCTAGGCAGAGAAGTCTACAAAAATCTCTGATTAACCATCAAAAAGGCTAGACTAGAGGTATGGCTGAAGTGATGAGTGCCAGTCATGGGCAAAAGTCAAGCAACAACTGGAGGCCCAAAGTTCAGGTTCTGATACTAGCACAAAGATAAATGGATGCCAGTGGCAGTAGTTCACCCACATAAATCTTAGCAACTCAGGACACTAAGATCTGAGAATTGAGGTTTAAAGCCAGACAGATTTTTTTTTTTCTGGGGGGGTCCGGTCATGGGCCTGAACTCTGGGCCTGGGCGCTGTCCCTCAGCTCTTCAGCTAGTGCTCTACCACTTGAGCCATAGCGCCACTTCCAGCTTTTTTGTCCTGCTTATGTAGTACTGAGGAATCGAACCCAGGGCCTCATGCATGCCAAGGCAAGCGCTCTACCACTGAGCCACCTTCCCAGCCCACCAGACAGGTTTTAAAGCCCAGGTAGATAAAAGTGGACCCCAGCCTATCACCATGCACCAACATCAACTCAAAATGTATTAAAGACCTTAACATTAAACCTGAATCTCTGAAATTACTGCAGGACAAAGTAGGAGAGACACTTGAACTTATAGGCACTGGAAGGAACTTCCTGAACAGAGTCCCAAGGTCACAACAAATTGGAGAGAGACTCGACAAATGGGACTACCTTAAAATAAAAAGCTTCTGCACAGCTAAAGCTATCGTAACCAAGCTACAAAGACAACCAACTAATTGGGAAAAAAATATTTACCAGCAACGTATCAGACAAGGGGTTAATATCCAGTATATACAGGTTACTCAAGAAACTAATCCCTCCCAAACCTAACAAACCAATTACTAAATGGGCAAGGGAACTAAAGAGGGACTTCTCAGATGAAGAGATAAAAATGGCAAAGAAACAACATGAGGAAATGTTCACCATCCCTGGTTGTGAAGGAAATGCAAATAAAGACAACCCTGAGATACCACCTTACCCCAGTCAGAATGGCCCACATCCTAAAGTCAGCCAACGACAAATGCTGGAGGGGATATGGAGAAAGAGGAACCCTATTACACTGCTGGTGGGAATGTACACTTATACAACCACTTTAGAAAGCAGTCTGAAGGGTCCTCAGAAAGCTAAATATTGACCTCCCTTATGACTCATCATACCACTTCTAGGCATCTATCCTGAACAACAGGAACCAGTATACAAGGACACATGCACCTCCATGTTTATTGCAGCACTGTTCACAATAGCCAGGATATGGAAACAACCCAGATGTCCCACCACAGATGAATGGATCCAAAAATTGTGGTATCTATACACAATGGAATATTATGCAGCCATTAGAAATGACAAAATAATGACATTTGCAGGGAAATGGATGGAGCTAGAAGAAATCATGTTGAGCGAGGTAAGCCAAGAGCAAAGAGACAAACAGTACATGGTCTCCCTGATAAGTGGATGTTAAATCCAAAATGTAAGGTGATAATGACAAAATTAACAGGACTTAAGAAACAAAGAACTTCCACTCATCTGGTTGAACCACTACTAAATAACCCCATGCTGCTGATCACATGTATGGTATATATGTGTACACCGGAGGGGAACCAGGAAGACGACACAGAACTAGAAGGAATCAGGGAAAAACATACAACAGCGGGACCCATTAGCTGCACAGGACATTGACCAAAATGAACTAAGCAACTTAATGGCAGCGATGGGAAGGAGGGAACAAATGGGAAAGAGGGAACAGCTGATGCTATGCGAAACAAAAAAAATATACATAACATCCAATGTGGAAGAAATAACTATCGAAAAACTCATAGAACTCATAAATGTTATAGACCGTGATAGACAATTTGCTCCAGGAAAGTTAGAATGTGTTTGTGACTTTAACTGAGCATCACTATCCCGCAATACTGTGAAATTTGGGAAATTATGTAACTAATCACAATTAAAAAAAAAAAAAAAAAAGTAGAACCAAGAGAAAGGTTCTTCGTCAGTAGGGCAACTTTGGAAGAGATGAAGGCGTCTCATGGGACTCTGGTTAGTTGTGGAGAGGGATAAAAACCCGAGGCCAGCCCCACCTAGTCCCTCTGCCTTACAGTTTCAAGATGTGACTCTTCTTCTTACATGTACCCCATCAGAGGGCTCTGGGAAGAGTCTTTATCTGACTTTCAGCCTCTCAAGCTGTGAGCTAAGTAAAATTTTTCCCCCAAAGAAAAATAAATAAATAAATAAATAAAGCAAGCCCAGGTAGACAAACCTATGAAATTGTATCTCCAATTAACTCGCAAAAAGCCAGAACTGGAAGTGTGGTTCAAGTGGTAGAGCTGTGAGCAAAAAAGCCAGACATGAGATTCCAAAGCCAAGCCCTAGTTTCTACGAGCACACATACATACGAAAAAGGTCTAATATGATCTGTTGGACTAATAGAGAATATACCATGGAGGGGGATTAGGTTATTCAGGAAATACTCAAAAAAGGTTGAAGTTACAGGATAAGGTACTAAACAAAGGTTAGGTTTTAAGTAGAGGATTAAGGATGATGCTCAAGTGGCAGAGCACTTGCCTAACAAGTGTGACTTCAAGCCGGACACCGGTGGCTCACTCCTGTAATCCTAGCTACTCAGGAGGTTGAGATCTGAGGATTACAGTTCAAAGCCAGCCCGGGCAGGAAAGTCTGTGAGACTCTGATCTCCAATAAACCACTAGGAAAACCGGAGTGGCTCAAGCAGTAGTGTGCTCGCCTTGAGCTGAAGAGCGTAAGGACAGCGCCCAAGCCCAGAGTTCAAGCCCCATGCCCAACCAAAAAAAATAAACGAACAAGTGTGACTTCAAACTCCAGTACCACTTTAAAAAAAAAAGAAAGGGGCTGGGAAGGTGGCTCAGTGGTAGAGCGCTTGCCTTGCATGCCTGAGGCCCTGGGTTCGATTCCTCAGCACCACATAAGCAGAAAAGAAAAGCCGGAAGTGGTGCTGTGGCTCAAGTGGTAGAGCGCTAGCCTTGAGCTGAAGAGCTGAGGGACAGAGCTCAGGCCCAGAGTTCAGGCCCCACGACCGGACCCCAAAAAAAAAAATTAAAAAAAAAAAGAAAAGAAAAACAGAAGCATGGGCAAGCCTGGGGGGGAATAACATAATAAAAAGACCTATTCAGCAGAATAATCACCGATTTTCATATGCCTAAAAAGTTTCAAAATATGAAATGCATAAACAAGAGCAGAATTTTAAACCAATGAAATGGGAAAGAAAAATAAAATGAAAATTGCGAAGAAAAAAGCTGGCCCTATTTGTTTTCACAGAAAATTCAAAAGTACCCACAACTACTAACAGTTCAAAGCTAATAAATTCAACACCAAAAAAATCAACACCACCTAGGGTGGTCCATGCCCAGAATCCTAGCAACTCAGGACACTAAAGGGGAGGAGTTTGAGCACAGAAAGACTGGCATGGGCAACATGAGACCCTCAATCTCAAATTTTCTTCTTAAAAAGTTGTAACAAATTTTAAGCTAGGATATTGGAATAGAAAACTAACAAAACAATTCCTTCACAAGTGGGTAAAAAACAAAAGCTTTTTAAAACATCTTTTGGAAATGATAAATGCTGATTTATAAAAGAGGTTATTTACGGAGAAAGGTGAAGTTTCTACTCTATAATTTCCTTTCTTCCTCTCCCTTTTCCAGTTAGCTGTGACTGTATACATGACATCTTCTCCCCTCATTGATTTTAGATTTTAAAATATGCTTAAAGCGAATATGGCACAATGTTAGGCAAAAGTTTTTAGTTTCTATTACAATTTTGAAACTTTCCACACTTCCTAAGGATACTAGTAAGCATCTTGATCAATGAGTGGTTTTAAGTTTAATCATCCATTTACAACCGTAGATTTTGCTTTCATTCTTCCTTTGGAAGTGCTGTGGAGCAAACACAGGGTCTTTAGGCAAGTACTTTACTACTGAACCACACCCAAATTGATTTGGCCTTTACAGTAAACTTAGTTTTTGGAAACAGGGCCTCACTATGTAGCCCAGGCTGCCTTGTCTGTGACTCAAATACTGGGATTATAGGCATGCATTACCATCTTTCTCTACTGTTCTTAAAAGTCTATTAAGTACTGTTATTAGCAACTATTCAGGGCTTTAATTTTGTATTTTGCACTGCATGACTACCCTTTACTTACAAAATCTGTGAAGATAACTATTGTATTGGGGGGGAGGTGAATAAGGGACATGAGAATCTTTAAGTGCTAAATTTTTATTTTTTTGCTGGTAGCAGGTTTGAATTCAGGGCCTCCTAACTTGCTTGATTGCTTGCCTGGTCATCTCTCCACATAAGCCATACCTTTAGCTCTGCTTTTTGCATGTTATTTTGGAAATAAGAATCTTGTGGGCTTTTTTGCCCAGACTGGCTTTAAATGACATTCAGGTACAGCTTTCAGAGTAGGATTACACAGATATAAAAACCATCAACCTTTACCTTTTTTTTTTTTTTTTTTTGGTCAGTCATGAGGTTTGACCTATGAGCCTGGGCGCTGTCTGTCCCTCAGCTACTCAGCTCCAGACTAGTGCTCTATCACTTGGGTCATAGCGCCACTTTTGGTTTTCTGAGTGGTTTATTAAAGAGTCTCATACTTTCCTACCCAAGTTGGCTTTGGATACTGATCTTCAGATCTCAGCCTCCTGTGCAGCTAGGATTACAGGTGTGAGCCACTGGTACCTGGCTTTTTTTTTTTTTAAAAAAACAAAACAAGGGGCTGGGAAGGTGGCTCAGTGGTAGAGCGCTTGCCTTGCATGCCTGAGGCCCTGGGTTCGATTCCTCAGCACCACATAAGCAAAAAGAAAAAAGCCGGAAGTGGCGCTGTGGCTCAAGTGGTAGAGCGCTAGCCTTGAGCTGAAGAGCTGAGGGACAGCGCCCAGGCCCAGAGTTCAGGCCCACGACCGGACCCAAAAAAAAAAAAAAAAAAAAAAAAAAAAACAAAACAAAACAAACAGGGCCTTTATAATGTGGACCAGGGGCTGGGAAGGTGGCTCAGTGGTAAGAAAGTTTGCCTTGCATGCAAGAGGCCCTGGGTTCAATTCTTCAGCACCACATAAGCAGAAAAAGCCAGAAGTGGTGCTGTGGCTCAAGTGGTAGAGCACTAGCCTTGAGCTGAAGAGCTGAGGGACAGTACCCAGGCCCAGAGTTCAGGTCCCATGACAAAAAAAAAAAAAAAAGCCATAATATAATGTGGACCAGGCTAGTCTCAAGGCATCCTCATGCCTCAGGCTCACCACTGATCATTACTTTAAAAGAAGTTTCATAGCAACTCAGGAGGCTGAGATCTGAGGATCATGGTTAAAAGCCAGTGCAGGGCAGCAAAGTCTGTGAGACTCTTATCTCCAATTAACCACCATAAAACTGGAAGTAGTGCTGTGGCTCAAGTGGTAGTGCTTGCCTTGAGCTGAAAAGTTCAGGGATAGCACCCATGCCCAGAATTCAAACCCCACAACCGAAAGAAAAAAAATAATTTTCAGTACTGGAGAAGGAACTCAGGACTGCACACATGCTAGGAATGTGATATTTGAGCTGAGATACCTCTCCAGTTCCTCATTTTTAATGCTAAATAAACAATCCATGCAGACTCCTTTCAACAGATGATTCACTAGGACTGGGAATGTGGCTTAGTGGTAGAATGCTTGCCTAGAGCATGCATGAAGTCCTGGGTTCGATTCCTCAGTACCAAATAAGCAGAAAAAGCCAGAAATGACACTGTGGCTCAAGTGGAGTGCTTGCCTTGAGCAAAAGACGCTCAGGGACAGTTGCCCAGACCTAGAGTTCAAGCCCCAGGACAAAAAAAAAAAAAAAAGAAAGAAAGAAAGAATGAAAGAAAAAGATGATTCACTATATATTAGAGTGTGAGACAGTCTGCAATGATTCCCAGAGATCCCAAGTCCCAGAGAAGGAAAGCTTCATTGAAAATTGACTCATACTTCCTTTTCCAAATGTGTCTACAAAGAACCAAAAGGATTATCTTTGCTAGGAATTCTTAATACCTACCTCCTTATACGCTCTTCTTCACTGTTATCCAGAGCTTTCAAGGTTCGGGCATAAAGGACAACGATGTCACTGTGCTTAGCTTTCTTGTTACACTAGAATCCAATGGGACACAATTAGAGTGGTTTTAGGAATTCTAACTCTACAATGGGTCCTTACTTACAGTTCTTACCTGAGGGCATTTTCGTGCCTGTCCTTTGAGCCACTTAGAAATGCATCTATATCCAAAAAGGTGCCCACAACGTAATGCTGAGAGCCTGTGGTCCCCAGCATTGGTCCACTGTTCCAAACATATTGTGCAAGTGTCCCCCTCATCTTCCTCCTCCTCCTCACCCATAGATGCAGACTTCTGAGGAGACTGCTGGATGGAAATTTAAATACATTGAAATGAGAAAATACAAAATCAGAGGTACACAACACTATTAAATTAGCAAAAGTGTACAAAAAAAGATACAAATGAAGTTGGAAAGCTGCATAAGTTGAAGTAAGGCAAAATATAAGCCACAGTATAATGGGTTAGCCGGGTGCCGGTGGCTCACGCTGTAATCCTAGCTACTCAGGAGGCTGAGATCTGAGGATCATGGTTTAAAGCCAGCCCGGGCAGGAAAATTTGTGAGACTCCTATCTCCAATAAACCACTAGAACATGGGAAGTGGTACTGTGGCTCAAGTGGTAGAACGCTATGAGTTAACACAAAAGTAAGGCTACTCAGGAGAGTGAGAAACTGGCTGCCCTCTTTGGTTTTTGATGCAGGAGATTGAGCTCAGAGCTGTGTATTAGCCAAGAGTCCCTGCTACCATTGAGCTACATACAACCCAGCAACACTACATTTTACCAATCACTTGAAGTCACCTAGCCTGGCCTACTTTTTTTGTTGTTGGTTGTGAAGCCTGAGTCCTGTCTCTGATCTCTCTTGCTCAAAGCTACTGCTCTGCTACTTTGAGACTCAGGTTGTCAGGTGGTTAATTGGAGATAAGAAAGAGTCTCAGACTTGCCAGGTGCTGGTGGCTCATGCCTGTAATCCTAGCTACTCAAGAGAGGCTGAGATCTGAGGATCAAGGTTCAAAGCCAGCCCGGGCAGGAAAGTCGGTAAAACTCTTATCTCCCATAAACCACCAGAAAACCAGAAGTGGCGCTGTAGCTCAAGTGGTAGAGTGCTAGCCTTGAGCTGAAAAGCTGAGGGACAGTGTTCAGGCCGAGTTCAAGCCCCACGACCGACAAAAAACAAAACACCGGCTGCTGGCTTTTTTTATTTTCCCCCCAGTCCTGGGGCTTGAACTCAGAGCCTGGGCACTGTTCCTGAGCTTCTTTTGCTCAAGGTTAACACTTTACCATTTGAGCCACAGCACAATTTTCTGCTTTTTCTATATATGTGGTACTGAGGAATCAAACCCAGGGCTTCATGCATTCAAGGCAAGCACTCTACCACCAAACCACATTCCCAGTCCCTGGCCTTTTTTTGTTGTTATTGGTCATGGGGCCTGAGCACTGTCCCTCCGCTCTTCAGCTCAAGGCTAGTGGTCTACCACTTGAGCCATAATGCCACTTCTTTTTCTGCTTATGTGGTGCTGAGGAATTGAACCCAGAGCCTCATACATGCAAGGCAAGCACTATAGCATCGATCACCTTCCTAGCCCCCCCCGGCCTATTTTTGATTGTAGAAGATTCTTGGATTCCCCTCCCCTTCATTCAAATTAAGAAAAGTAGCTATCTAAAATTCCCAACAACTAGTAACCGCCCCACGACCAACAAAAAACAAAACACCGGCTGCTGGCTCCCCCTCCACCCCCCCGAGTCCTGGGGCTTGAACTCAGAGCCTGGGCACCGTTCCTGAGCTTCTTTTGCTCAAGGTTAGCGCTCTACCAATTGAGCCACAGAGCCACTTCCACCTTTTTTTCTGTGTATGTGGTACTGAGGAATTAAACCTAGGGCTTCATGCATGTTAGGGATGCACTTTACCACTAAGCCACATTCCCAGCCCTTCTGCACTACTTTTCTACAAAGCCTGCAGCTTTCCACTTTAAATTACAGCCTCTTAAAAATCTAAACCTTTTATTTAAAAATGTTAAAGCCAGGTCCTGGTGGCTCATACCTATAATCCTCAGGAGGCTAAGATCTGAAGATCATGGTTCGAAGCCAGCTCAGGCAGTAAAGCCTATGAAACTCATCTCCAATAAAACAGCACAAACTTGCCGGGCGCTGGTGGCTCACGCCTGTAATCCTAGCTACTCAGGAGGCTGAGATCTGAGGATCGCGGTTCAAAGCCAGCCCAGGCAGGAGAGACCATGAGACTCCTATCTCCAATAAACCACCAGAAAACCGGAAGTGGCGCTGTAGCTCAAGTGGTAGAGCACTCGCCTTGAGCTGAAGAGCTGAGGGACAGTGCCCAGGCCCAGAGTTCAAGCCCCACGACCGACAAAAAAAAAAAAAAAAAAAAACAGCAAAAAACTAAAAGTTGTGGTCCAGGCACTAGCTTTGAGGACAAAAGTTCAGTGATAAGTCAGGCCCTGTGGCTCATACCTGTAATCCTAGCTACTCAGGATGCTGAGATCTGAGGATTGTGGTCTCAAAGCCAGCCCGGGCAGGAAAGTCCGTGAGACTCTTAGCTCCAATTAACCACCAGAAAATGGAAGTGCTGCTGTGGCTCAAGTGGTAGAGTGCTCACCTTGAGCTGGAAGAGCTCAGGAATAGTGTTCATGCCCAGATTTCAAGCCCCACGACCAGCAGGAGAAAAAAAAAAAAAAAAGTTCAGGCACCTAGGCCTTGAGTTTAAGCCCAAGGACCAGCATACCCACGCACGCACGCACGCACGCAAAGAATGTGTAAGCCAGGAGTGCCTGGCTCACACCTGGAATCCTATACACTCATGAGGCTGAGATCTGAGATTGCCATTTGAAGCGAATCCAGTTAGAAAAGATTGTGTGACTAATCTCCAAAGAACCAGTAGCAAAGAGCTGGAAGTACAACTGTGGCTAAAGTAGAAGAGCACCAGCCTAGATCAGAAAAAGACAAAAACCTAAGAGGAGGCAAGGCCCAGCACTGGCACAAAAATAAATAAGAATGTTTGAGCTAGACTTAGAAAGCTTACATCTATAATGTAAAGAGGAGTTAAGGCAAAGATGAGGATACTGGTTCAAGACCAGCCTGGTCAAAAAGTTAGGGAGACCTCTATATCAACAGTCAGTAAAGTGGTACACATCCATCAGCCATCAGCTACATGAGAGGCAAAGGTAAGAAAATCATGGTCCAGGGTAGTCTCAGGCAATAGCTTGAGACACTACCTGAAAAATAATTAAAGCCAAAAGGGAACTGACGATATTGTGTAAGCAAAGAGCATGTGCCTAACAAACAGAAGACCCTGAGCCCAAGCTACAGTTGTGCCCAAAGGGGCAGAAACAGAGTGATGACTTTTATATTACCTGTTTGGACTGGGTATTTCCTTCACTGATAAATGGCACTTCTTCCTCTGCTGTGGTAACTCTTTCTTGCTCTTCCAAGTTGTAGTCAGAAATGAATAAGGCAGTTAATACATAAAAGAAGGTAAGAGTTAGCTATTAGATGTTAGGATGAGAGCTGAACTCACTATAGTTTCCATTTCTTTCTTTTTCTTTTTTTTTTGCCAGTCATGGTGCCTGAACTCTGGGCCTGGGCACTGGCCTCAGCTCTTCAGCTCAAGGCTAGTGCTCTACCAACTTGAGCCATAGCACCACTTCTGGGTTTTTCTGCTTATATGGTGCTGAGGAATCAAACCCAGGGCCTCATGCATGCAAGGCAAGCACTTACTCTACCACTGAGCCACCTTCCCAGCCCCTATAGTTTCCATTTCTTTTTTTTTTTTTTGTCGGTCATGGGGCTTGAACTCTGGGCCTGGGCGCTGTCCCTCAGCTCTTCAGCTCAAGGCGAGCGCTCTACCACTTGAGCTACAGCGTTACTTCCGGTTTTCTGGTGGTTTATTGGAGATAGGAATCTCACGGTCTCTCCTGCCCGGGCTGGCTTTGAACCGCGATCCTCAGATCTCAGCCTCCTGAGTAGCTAGGATTACAGGCGTGAGCCACCAGCGCCCGGCTATAGTTTCCACTTCTAACTGGTAGTTTACCTATAAAAGTGAAGACTTCACCAAATAATACCAGTGATTTATTATCTTATTTTTGGATATTCTCATACATACATTAAAAGACAAAGTTATAGTAATATTAGTACCTATCCGATTTTAAAAAATGAATTTGTCTGGTGCCATTGGCTCAAGCCTACTCAGGAGACCTGAAGATCACTGTTTGGACCCGGACCAGAGACAAATTCACAAGACTCATCTTCAATTAATTCTGTATCCCTTATACTGTACCTGGGAAGTCATTTCTAGAAGTACTGGTTCCTTTTAGTGGGAAAAAAATACTGAAAGACCATAATCTGGCTATCAGTAGGTTTTTAATGAAATCAAGACATCTACTGTAGGAGTATGTGCCACTTACTAAGTCCCATCTACATAACATTTTACTAAAATTAGAAAGTGACACCTTAAGCAGGAGGCTCACAATCCTAGCTACTCAAGAGGCTGAGACCTGAGGATCTCAGTTTGAAGTCAGCCAGGGGAGGAAAGTCTGTTGAGAATCTTTTTTTTTTTTGTTGTTTTTTTTCTTGGCTAGTCCTGGGGCTTGAACTTAGGGCCTGGGCACTATCCCTGAGCTGCTTCTGCTCAGTGCTAGCTAGCATTCTACCACAGAGCCACTTCTGGCTTTTTCCGTGTATATGGTACTGAGGAATCAAACCCAGGGATTCATGCATGCCAGGCAAGTATTCAACTACTAAGCCACATTCCCAGCCCCTGTGAGAACCTTTTTTGTTGTTGTTGTTTTTGGTCATGGGCTTCAACTCTGGGCCTACATGCTGTCCCTCAGCTCTTCAGCTCAAGGCGAGCACTCTACTACTTGAGCCATACCACCACTTGCAGTTTTCTGGTGGCTTATTGGAGATGAAGAGACTCATGGACTTTCCTGCCAGGGCTGGCTCTGAACCACAATCCTCAAATCTCAGCCTGAGCAGCTAGGATTACAGGCATAAGCCACTGGCACTTGGCTTCCCTATGAGAAGCTTATCTTCACTAAACTACCAAAAAAGTCAAAGTAGAACTGTAGCTGAAGTGGTAGTCTTGAGCAGAAGAATCTCAAGGACAGCACATAGGCCCCGAGTTCAAACCCCAGGACTGGCTTAAAAACAAAAAAGTGATACCTTAGATAAGGTTTTGGATTTATATAACTTCTTTTTTTGGTCAGTCATGGGGCTTGATCTCTGGGCCTGGATGCTGTCCCTGAGCTCTTTAGCTCAAGGTGAGCACTCTACCACTTGAACCACAGCACCACTTCTGGTTTTCGGGTGGTTAGTTGGAGATAAAGAGTCTCACTGAGTTTCTTGCCCGGGCTGGCTCTGAACTGCAATCCTTAGATCCTGAGTAGCTAGGATTACAGGCATGAGCCATCAATGCGTGGTGGATTTATATAATTTTTCTTTTTGAGACTACAGGGTTTCACTATCTAGCCCAAGCTGATATTGAACCCATTATCCTCCTATCCTTCTGCTTAGCTTCCCTAGTGCTGGGATTACAGATGTGTCACCATGCCCAGCTGCAAAAAATTTCAAATGAATAATCTACTTATTTTATAGATTTTTTTTTTTAAAAAAAAAGGAAAGTGAACGTAAAATGACATCACAGAGATTGCTTCACTGGAATACAACTAGGTAAGTCAGATCAAATTCTGTCAGGATCATCACAGCCAGTTCAAAGTGCTGAATTCTAACATAGGAACCAATGGCATTTGAGAGAAAAAAAAGGAAAATAACAAACTACAACTACAGTTTTTAGTCTTCTCAAAACTTAGATGTTAGTCTTGTGAATGCTAACCTGCATAAAATACTGACTGACCTTCTGAAATGACAGTTCCAGGTTCTTCTGCCTGACCAACCACCTCTTCATTCTCTATAGAGCTGTCACTGTCAGAATGAGAACCACCTGATACATGCAAGTCTTCAGATCTGGGATTTCTAGTTTCTGAATCAGAAGAGGCAGCTGGCAATTGAGGCTGGGTCCTGCTCACTTGAAAGTAAGCATCCAATGGTGCTCTCGACCTATGTAGCCAAAAGGACAGCAACAAAATTACAGTACAGTGAACCTTTGTCACAAGAATAGTATACAGTGGGGGCTGGAAAGGTGGCTCAGTGGTAGAGCGCTTGCCTTGCATGCCTGAGGCCCTGGGTTCGATTCCTCAGCACCACATAAGAAAAAAAAAAGCCAGAAGTGACGCTGTGGCTCAAGTGGTAAAGCGCTAGCCTTGAGCTGAAGAGCCGAGGGACAGCGCCCAGGCCCAGAGTTCAGGCCCCACGACTGGACCAAAAAAAAAAAAAAATAGTATACAGTGATAGGAAGACAAATCCTAATAATTTCAGTCCAGTGCTGAGCCATTAAATGCAGTCTCTGAGAAATGAAAGACTTGGGCAAACACAATGAGCCTGGATGTTTTTTTCTATTCAATCATGGTTTCTCCTGCTTAAATAAGTGAATTCTACACATGGCCTGTAGTCATCTGTACCTTTAAAGGACATAACCCAACAACTTGTCTGCTGATATTAGGGAGTAGAAAAGGGTTGTCACTGCCCAAATGTGGGTATACAGGATTCTGCCACTGCCCCTACCCAAGATAAGGACCTTTTGAGGAATATTATGTGGCTTCAGTCATCACGGTTTCACCTTGTTATTTTCCTTTTAAAACTTAAATCATTGCAGGGCACAGGGCTGGTGGCTCCGACCTGTAATCCTATTTACTCAGAAGGCCGATATCTGAGGATCATGGTTCAAAGCTAGTCCTTGAGACCCTTCCTTCAATAAACTATTCAGAAAACACCAGAAATGCTCTTTAGGTGAAGTGGTAGAATGATGCCCTTGAGCACAAAAATGCTCAGGGACAGCACCCAGACCCAAGTTCAAGCCCCAGGACCTGGGCGTAGGGAAAGGAGGAGGGAGTAATAGCTAAGCATGCTAGTATATTCCGTAATTCCAACATTTGGGAAATGGAAGGATCTTGAGTTCCAGCTCAGCTTGGGTTATGCAGCAAGATCCTATATTAAATAATAATACTAACTGCTTGCTGTGTAGCCAGAATGGGCATGAGCTATTGTGCCCAGATTGTATGAAATATTATTTTACACTGGCAACTCAAGTCTGTAGTCACACTAACAGCAGGCTGAGACCACAAAATCCAGACTCAAGGAGCAGTCCAATTTCAGAGTTATTGCAGATAAATCCCAAATTACTAGCTTCCTCATTTTCTTTTTTTTTTTAGGGTCCGGTCGTGGGGCCTAACTCTGGGCCTGAGCACTGTCCCTCAGCTCTTCAGCTCAAGGCTAGTGCTCTACCACTTGAGCCACAGCGCCACTTCCGGCTTTTTTCTTTTTTATGTGGTGCTGAGGAATCGAACCCAGGGCCTCACGCATGCAAGGCAAGCGCTCTACCACTGAGCCAACTTCCCAGCCCAGCTTCCTCATTTTCAAAACAACAGGTTAACAAATAACCTGGATGCCATTTATCATCATCTCAATATCTTCATTGTGTTTGAAAATAAATGGTTATGACTCAATATTCCTCCACCTGCCTATGTAGAAACAACTCAGATCCAAGGTTAAATACCAGCTAAGCCTTCCATGTTACAGCTACAAGTTTCTTAACAATGTATTCTTTGAGGGACAAAATTTCCTTCACATATAAAACTTTTCTTTTTGAGACAACAGGGTTTCACTATCTAGCCCAAGCTGATATTGAACCCATTATCCTCCTGCTTAGCTTCCCCAGTGCTGGGATTACAGATGTGTCACCATGCCCAGCATGGTCAACATCATAAAAACATTTAAAAGGCAAAATGTAAGAGAAAATACTTTAAATTAAAAAAAGGCCACCACTGTACATGGTGCCTCATGCCTGTAATCCTACATATAGAAGGATGAGATCTAAGGATTGAGGTTTGAAACCAGCCCTAGACAAACCTGAGACTCTTAAACTAGAGAAAGCCAGAAGTAGACATGTGGCTAAAGTGTAGAATAGCAGCATGAACAGGGAAGAGCACAAGGCCCTGAGTTCAAGCCCTAGTATATGTCGCCAAAAAAAAGAGCAAGGTAATTGTTATTTTTCATGTAACTGTCAAGACTTGTTATTCTTCACTTAAGCCCTTAAAGAAATAAATCCAAAACAAAAACTATGGCAGAACACCTGTGACCCACACCTGTAATCCCACCTACTCAGTAGGCTGAGATCTAAGGATTGAAGTTCTAAGCCAGCCAGGCAGCAAAGTCCATGAGACACTTAAATTCCAATTAACCAACAAAAATTATAAAGTGGAGCTGTGGCTCAAGTGGTAGAGTGCTAGCCTTGAGCAAAAAAGAACAGGGACAGCACCCAGGCCCTGAATTCAAGCCCCAGCACTGGGACTGGCAAACATAAACTATAGAAGAAAACCATTTTGGGGCTTGGGTATGGCTTAGGGGCATAGTACATGCTTTGCACGTGTAAGGGTCTGGGTCAGGTGCTTCACGTATTAAAAAGAACCAAAATTTATAGGCTGCTTCTAACAAGCTCCCCATTTTCAAACTTATTAGTACAACTTATCCCATCAATTATTTAGTAAATCAAGGCCCATCCTTTTTTTTTGCCAGTACTGGGCCTTGAACTCAAGGCCTAGGCTCTGTCCCTGTGCCTCTTTGTGCTCAAGGCTAACACTACCACTTGAGCCACAATGCCACTTCTGGCTTTTTCTGCTTTATGTGGTACCGAGGAATCAAATCCAGGGATTCATACATGCTAGGCAAACAGTCTACCACTAAGCCACATTTCCAGTACATGGCCCATCCATTCTAACTTAAGGAGAAAATGGGGATTCAGCCACTTGTTATTACTATGATTTCAGTTTGGCAGCCCTGGGGGTATGACCTGAGTCCAAGGCTATTTCTAGAGTGACACTAATTGAATTCTTTTGTGTGTGTGTGTGTGTCAGTCGTGGGGCCTGAACTCTGGGCCTGGGCACTGTCCCTCAGTTCTTCGGATCAAGGCTAGAGCTCAACCACTTGGGCCACAGTGCCACTTTCAGGTTTTTCTGCTTATGTGGTGCTGAGGAATCGAACCCAGGGCCTCATGCATGCAAGGCAAGCACTCTACTACTGAGCCACCTTCCCAGCCCACTAAGTGAATTCTTTTTTTTTTTTTGGGTCCAGTCATGGGGCCTGAACTCTGGGCCCGGGAGCTGTCCCTCAGCTCTTCAGCTCAAGGCTAGCGCTCTACCACTTGAGCCACAGCGCCACTTCCGGCTTTTTTCTTTTTGCTTATGTGGTGCTGAGGAATCGAACCCAGGACCTCATGCATGCAAGGCAAGCGCTCTACCAGTGAGCCTCCTTCCCAGCACTAAGTGAATTCTTACACATAACAGTTACCTAGCACTGCCTGTTCTCTGAGAGGCTCCACCTCTTGCTCTATGTAATGCAGATTCTCTTCTCCTCCTTATTCTCACTGGCCCTCCACTGTGGTTCAAATTTGAAGGAAGAGGTCTCAGGGATTCCAGCATGCCATGAAGTCTCTGCAGCCCAGTGATGAAGTTGGTTATAGAAGCCAAGGAAGATACTCGGTTTCTGTGGTTAGCATCAGACATGTGCCTATGCTCCTCTGAAGTTCCTGGACTGCTGTTTTCCACACCCTCTACTTCGGCAGTCAAGTCAACAGACTCTGGCAGGGCAGGCTGGAGCGGGGGTGGTGCCTCTTGACTACTGACCAATACAGCAGGAGCAGGTGGTTCGGTAGGATCACCTAACTGATCCTGAAGATCACAGTCCATTGCTTCATGAGCCATTACTGGGGGAATAGTAGTCATAAAAAGAGTATTAGTAAAATTGAGAAAATACTGTATCTGTGATCTAACCACTTCTTTCAGAATCTCCTCCAGCAAGAATCAACACAACTAAGAAAACTAAAGACTTTACTTAAGTCAACTTCTCTTCCTATAAAAAGTTTGTTTTTTGAGGTGTTTTTTTTTTTTTTTGGGGGGGGGTCCGGTCGTGGGGCCTGAACTCCGGGCCTGGGTGCTGTCCCTCAGCTCTTCAGGTCAAGGCTAGCGCTCTACCACTTGAGCCACAGCACCACTATCGGTTTTTTTCTTTTTGCTTATGTGGTGCTGAGGAATCGAACCCAGGGCCTCAGGCATGCAAGGCAAGCGCTCTACCACTGAGCCAACTTGCCAGCCCCTGTTTTTGTTTTTAATATAGGGCCTTACTATGTAGTCCCAGGCTGGTCTTAAACTCAAGACTCCCTGCTTCTACCTGTCAAGTAATGGGATTATGCATAACATACCCTGAGAAGTACTTATATCAGGGCTTGGAGTCATATATCTCTAATCCCAGAATTCTAGGAATTAAAGGCACATTCCAGGTAGAACTGTGAATTCATGACCAGCTTCTCTTTTAAAAAAAAGAAGAGAGAGGAAGGGGTGAGAGAGAAAGAAAGCAAGAAAATGAGGGCTGGGAAGGTGGCTCAGTGGTAAGAAAGTTTGCCTTGCATGCAAGAGGCCCTGGGTTCAATTCCTCAGCACCACATAAACAGGAAAAGCTGTAAGTGGTGCAGTGGCTCAAGTGGTAGAGCGCTAGCCTTGAGCTGAAGAGCTGAGGGACAGTGCCCAGGAGTTCAAACCCCACAACTGATGGAAGAAAAGAAAAGAAAGAAGGAACATGAGTTGCTTTAGAACAACTGAGGAGTCAACACTAGTAATAGAAGTTTGGACAAGAATGGATGCAGTGGAGCCTGGTACTGGTGGCTCATGCCTGTAATCCTAGCTACTCAGGAGGCTGAGATCTGAGGATCGTGGTCAAAGACAGCCAGGGCAGGAAAGCCAATGAGACTATCTCCAACTGAGGACAAAAAGGCAGAAGTGGTACTGTGGCTCAAGTGGTAGCATACTAGCCTTGACCACAAAAGCTCAGGGGCAGTGCCCAGGCCCAGAATTCAGGCCCCAGGACCAGCAAAGGTAGGTGGGGGGGGGGGAGAAAGAAAAGCAAAACAAGGCTGGAAGCACTTTAGTAGATTACCAACAGTGAGCAAAAGAACCCATTGCAACCCCGAGGCCCCAAGTTCAAATTCTGATACTAGCAAAACTGCCACAAAACAACTCAAGCTCTGGGCTGCAATGTACTCTTTCAAATACACCAAAATAAAAAACAACAGGCCTGCCATACTATATGGCAGAAAAACTGAATGTTTTAGTCACAATAGTAAAGTTCCTGCAACAGCACCATTCTGTAGTTAAGTTTCCCCAATTGGCCTGGGAGTGAGGGAAGGGGGTGCAACAGTGCTGCTAGACCCAAGAGGCCACTGAGCGCGGCGACTGCAAGTGTGTAGCTCCAACAAGGGATACCACGTCCCTCGGGTGCCCAGGACCTGCAGGCATTCCCTCGGAATGGGGGGGGGGGGGGATCGCTGCTCTGGGTCACTTACTTCACTTACTATCTAGAAGTCTTCAAGTGGCTTGACTGACCTCAGCCTAACTTGTCAGCCCGTAAAAGAGAGATGTGAAGACACTTCGGTCACTGCGTGTCTGAGAAAATAAAATTCTATTCCATTGAACGTGGAATTAGTAGACTAGTAGCGGGCCTTGGGGGGGGGAGGGGCCGGAAGAACGCCGAGCTCCGCCCTCTCCCCCCCACAGTCCAAAGGCGCAAACTCGCCAGCCATCCCCTCCCCCACCCCCCACTCCCATTACCCCGCCTCACCCCCATTATCCCCCATCCCCCCCTGCCCCCCCTCCACGCTCATGACCTCCCCACTCCACCTCACTCCACTCCCTCCCACCCCCACCCACACCGCCCCCCATCCCCACTCCCACCGCACTCCCGGCCCACCACGGCCCGGACCTCCTCAACTCGACCCGCGGCCGCCCAGAATCTCCTCAGGCCGCCAAGTTCCAAACCCGCCAGTGGCCCACCTTCTGTGGCGACTCTAGGCCCCACGACTAGGGGCCGTAACCCAGTGAAGTTAGGCCAAAACGGGAGGCTCGAAGCTTGGAGAGAAATAAGCGGCCAGTTTTGCTAAGGCCGAAAGACCGCGGCAGTCAGCCAGACGAACTCGGACGTTTACGGTTACCTCCGCAGACTACGGCGCCGACCGGAACTTCCCTTCAAACAGCTCAAGCTCCCCGCCCGCGACGCGGGCCAAGTAACCTCCTATTGGACAGCCGCTCCAGCCAGCGACCAATCATCTCTCTTCTTCTACTGGTCAGCGCTGGATAAAATGGGGTTCTCATTGGTTAGTTGTTCTTAAAGGGCGGGAACACGTGCTAAACAGTCTCATAAAATTGGTAGACTTGTCTGTCTGTCATTCGCGCCCAACCCCCGGAACAGACAAGCGGAAGTTTTTTGTTTTTTTAAATAGTTTAATCGAACTTTGGAGGGAAAAAGGTTTAAAGATTTCGCAGTCCATTTGTGTATGTTGGTTGTGGGACAGGACCTGGATACTGTTCTTGAGCTTTTCCCCCTCAAGGCTGGCTGGCTACCATTTGAGCCAGGCTCCACTTCTGGCTTTTTGTGATGAATTGGAGATTAGAGACAGACTTCCAACTGCGATCTTCATCTTCAGATCTCAGCCTCCTGAGTAGCTAGGATTACAGGCGTGAGCCCCCAGTGCCCAGCTCTGCTCTGGGTCCACTTCAGAATGGAAGTGTTAAAACTATGACTTTTTAGGTTTGGAATTGTGATTCAGTGGTAGAAGACCTGCCTAGCAGGCCTTGAATGCAAATTCCAGTGCCACAAACACTCAAAACCTGTGGTTCTTACTGCCTCTTCCTACTCTTGGTTGGAGTTTACCTTTATCCAAAGGATAGTAACTAATGGAACAATTTTTAAATATTGCCTCTAGAATTCTGGACCCTCGATAGGGAATAACTTGTTCTTATTGGTCTTCTCATGGAGTCGAAGAGCTTGCCAACGCTACCTTAAGCGAAAAAGAATTCCCACTATTTCTTTCACCTGACACCACTCCAATAAGTTGCCTACTATTATAAATACCTCACTTCACTTAACAGCAAAGGGTTTTCAAGCCTCTCATTTTTTATAAGATGAAATCGCGCTTTTTTATTGAAATTTCAGGCAGGTTGCACATTGCTAAAATTTTATTAACTGAGCTTTCATATTCAATGAGATTGGTAGCAGAAGAGAACATAATTGAAATTCATAGATACCCAAACATTGTCTTCAATATTCTTGCACCAAGGCCATCAACATACATATACTTTATCTTTCTGTCCAAAGAAACAGCTAATGGAAGGAGAAAGGAGTTTTTCATTTAGAAACCAAACTGATACATTATGGAGCAGGAGGAAAAAAAAAATTGTATGTGTTTCATTGTTAGACAAGAGGAGCCTGCTTTATGCAGATAATTAAAAAATACAAAGAAGCCAAACAGAAAAATGGGAGGTCTGAGGACTTGGCACAAAAGGTCGAATACCCGCTTAGTAAGTATGAGACCCTGAGTTCAAATACCAGAACTGAAAAACCAAAGAAAATAATATTTTCTAAATTTAAAAAAGGCGAGGGGGAGAAAAATGGTTTGGTGAAATCCTTATCAATGTTGTGTAACATCTTTATTTAAGATGAAATGGCCGTTTACTCACTTTTGGGGATTCTTTTCGTATAACTTCAATAAAGATTGTAAGCAAAGAAAAAAAAGAAATGGCTGTTTATGCTTGAAATTTTTTTTCAGATTCCAATTGATACTTTGTTGGGCTGTGGGGGTGTAGAGAAGGAAGCAGGACCACTGGCTTCTCCCCAATAATCCTCTACTTTGCCTGCCTTAGATCGCTGGGGAGATTTAGTGGAGACTAGACTCAGATTCTCCTTGGCTGAGGGATTTAGTGGCAGCCTCCATGATTCCTGCACACACAGCTATTCAAATGTATCTGGAGCTAGGCAGCCTGTGGCTGACGCCTAGAATTCTAGCTGCTCAAGAGGCTGACATCTGAGGAGAAAGTTCTGAAGTCAGCCTGGGGAAGGAAAGTCCATTAAACATTTACCTCCAATTAGCTATCAAAAAACCTGAAGTAGAGAGCTGTGACTCAAGTGGTGGAGCACCAGCCTTGAGCTAAAAAAGCTAAGGGACAGTGCCCAGACCCTGAGTTCAAGCCCCAGCATGGGTACACACACACACACACACACACACACACACACATCAAAGAAAACAAAAGGAAGAAAGAAAATGCAAGATTGTTTCAAAAAATATCCCAGCAACAGAGACTAGCAGAGAACAGAACATCCCCCCCTCTATCCCTCCCCCTGGCTTCTCTTCATGGGGCGGGGAGGTACCAGAGACCTCCTAGAGAACTAAGCTCAAATTTGCAGACTCAGAATGACAAAGCAAGTCTTCTTTGATTGGTCGGCTTTTTGATGCTTCATTTGCATAATGGCCCAAAAACCTTTGAGACCCAAAGACCATGCAATAGGGGAGAACAGAAACCCACAGCGGTATGCCATTGTCTTGTTCCTTCTGTGAACAAAGTCTTCACATTGATAGTCCATTGTTGTGGCTTTCATTTATTGAATTCCTTAAAAAAATAAAAAATAATGGAAGAAAGCCAGGCATCAGTGGCTCTTGCCTATAATCCTAGGTACTCAGGAGCCTGAGATCTGAGGATCGTGGTTTACTTGTAAATCAGAAGAAGTACCTGTAATGTAATGGAAGTTTACGAAAAATGTGAACAGCATAGGGATGTAGTAAATTCCCTTACTTGGTCACAGAAAATCATAAATTCAATTTTACATATCACTTGCAGCTATTACCAAAAGTGAATTTTGGAGGCGGGGGAGGAGGGGCTGCTGTTCCTAGGGCTTGAATGCAGAGCCTAGGCACTGTCCCTGAACTTTTTTGCTCAAGGATAGCACTCTGCCACTTTGAGCCACACCTCCATTTCTAGTTTTTTGATAGTCACTTGGATAGTCTCTTGGGCTTTCTTGCCTTGGCTGGCTTCAAACCTCGATCCTCAAATCTCAGCCTTCTGAGTGGCTAGGATTACAGGCATGACCACTGACACCTAGCTCTGTGTAAGTCTTTTTGTAGCAGGAAAGTCCTGCCTCCTCACAACTGTCAATAACTCTGCCGAGGGCTGAGAATGTGGCGTAGTTGTAGAGTGCTTGCCCAGCGTGCATGAAGCCCTAAGTTCAACTCCTCATTACAACATAAACAGAAAAAGCCAGAAGTGGGGCTGTGGCTCAAATGGTAGAGTGCTAGCCTTGAGTGAAAAAAAGCTCAGGGACAGTGCCCAGGCACTGAGCTCAAGCCCCAGGTCTGGCAAAAACAAAAAGCAAAGCACAAAAATGGAGTGGAAAGGATATGGGAGAGAGACAGAGAGAGAGAGAGATCCAGTTTATACCTCTCTCAGTGTCTTGTCCAGGACTCCGTGACTCAGTAAAGACAGACAGTTTCTCTAAGATTTCTGTAAATGAATGAATGAATGAATGAATGAATGAATAGAAACACAAGATATGTGTATGCTCCATCATAGAAGCTATCTATTCCCCTCCAGTATGGCTGATACCCAAGCCATTGCACTCATACTTTAGTGATAGGAAATTTTTTTCTTCCTTGATCAATTTGAAACCCTAAATATCTCACAGGAGGACTAAACTCACATCTTAGTGTGAATTTCTAGTGCTAGGATATTCGATTTTAGAATATTAGAGTATTAGATTTTCTAATACCAGTATCCAGCACCCCTGCACACTTGACATCTGGGCTGGATCATTTCAGGTTTGTTTTGTTTGGGTTTCCTGCATTCTTCAAATCAAACTCATGTCCTCCTATGTGCTAGGCAAGTGCTCTGCCACTAAACTATACCCTCAGCCTTGTCCTATGCATTTTAGGAGGTTGAGTGGTACCTCTGGCCTCTACACATGAGTTGTAACAACCAAACATGGCTTCACACATTGTCTCCTGAAGGGCCAAACTATTCCTAATTTCTTTTTTTTGTTTGTTTTTGTTTTGTTTTGTTTGTTTTTTTGGGGGGTCCGGTGTGGGGCCTGAACTCTGGGCCTGGGCGCTGTCCCTCAGCTCTTCAGCTCAAGGCTAGCACTCTACCACTTGAGCCACAGCGCCACTTCCGGCTTTTTTTTTTTTTGTCGGTTGTGGGGCTTGAACTCTGGGCCTGGGCGCTGTCCCTCAGCTCTTCAGCTCAAGGTGAGCGCTCTACCACTTGAGCTACAGCGCCACTTCCGGTTTTCTGGTGGTTTATTGGAGATAGGAGTCTCACGGTCTCTCCTGCCCGGGCTGGCTTTGAACCGCGATCCTCAGATCTCAGCCTCCTGAGTAGCTAGGATTACAGGCGTGAGCCACCAGCGCCTGGCTCGGCTTTTTTCTTTTTGCTTATGTGGTGCTGAGGAATCGAACCCAGGGCCTCAGGCATGCAAGGCAAGCGCTCTACCACTGAGCCACCTTCCCAGCCCCTATTCCTAATTTCTTAGCACTTTGAAAAATGAAATCTTTTGTCAGCCACTGGTAGCTCACACATGTAACCATAGCTACTCAGGAGGTTGAGATCTAAGGATTGAAGTTTGAAGCCAGCCTGGGGAAGGAAAATCTGTGAGCCTCTTATCTCCAATTAACCACCTCAGAAAAGCTGAATGTGGAGTTGTGATTCAATGGTAGAGCACCAGCCTTGAGTAAAAATAGCTAAAGGAGAATGCTAAGACCCTGAGTTCAAACCTCAGTGTACATGCGTGTGCATGTGCACGCACGTGTGTACACACACACACACAGTTGAAATCTTTCACAAATGTGAAATAAACCATACCTTTAACAGAGGGTCTCTGAGAGGGCTCATAGGCCAGGCACATTTCAATGACCTCCTGTAGCTCTGGAGGGCAGTCTTCGTTCACTGGCTCCTGGTACCCTTCCATAGCTGCCAGCTGGTAGATCTCCTCATTATCCTTGCCTGGAATGGAAATGATAAGACGGAAGACGTAAAATATTGTTCCTATATTCTCACACATCTCTCTAGCTACTAATAGCTGGTGTTAGAACTAGGAACTTCAAATATGGAAAAAGCAGGAGTCTCCAATAACTCCATTGGTGGTTACCCTAGACAGTTTCTACATCAGACAATATAGTTCCCAAGACAGATGGAGGAATTTTCTGGTCCTTTAGAAGGGGACCCAACCCCAGCACTGGCAGAGCCAGCCTTTGTATTCTTTACCATCAAAAGGAATCTTCCCAGTGACAATTTCCCAGAGGACGATGCCAAAGCTAAAAGAAAACCAAGAAAATAAACGCCTTAATGAATTCTTTTCCCTGTGTCCCTTTAGCTATTGCCAGAAAACTTAGTAAATGTTCAGATTACCACTCAACTCTGTTCAGTAGAATTAAGATGACCCTTAGAAAAATTTGACTTGGACCTTCCTGTTCTGATCATCTGGGTTAGGATCTGTAAAAGAACACGAACATACCTGTATATTTCGGCTTGTACATCATATCTGTAAAACCCATTTTTCAGTCCTTGGGGTGAGACATATGCTGTAGAATTGACTTTATCTGCTTTCATCTTCCTTTTCTGACTGATGAAAGTCTGAGTTTTACTTAGCTCAAACCCTGCAAGCTGGGCAGAAAAATAAAACAAACAAACAAACAAAAAAACTGAGATCTGGGATGGAGGAGTAGGGGAAAGGGAGTTGGTGTGGTAAATGATTGTTAAGGAGTGACCTCTTCCCTGAGGGATTTATTTCCAGTGATGTCTTCTGATTGTATGCCTATTATATATGTTGATATTATAGTTCAACTTATCATAGTGCACTAACCAAGAGAAGTACAAAGAGAGTTCTGTATGAAATAGGCATGATGGCAGGGAGGGTTACTTGATGTTTTTTTTTTTTTTTGGGTCCGGTCGTGGGGCCTGAACTCTGGGCCTGGGCGCTGTCCCTCAGCTCTTCAGCTCAAGGCTAGCACTCTACCACTTGAGCCACAGCGCCACTTCCGGCTTTTTTCTTTTTGCTTATGTGGTGCTGAGGAATCGAACCCAGGGCCTCGAGCATGCAAGGCAAGCGCTCTACCACTGAGCCAACTTCCCAGCCCGGGTTACTTGATGTAATGGTTAATGGTTACAACTTTTTTTTTGTCAGTCATAGGGCTTGAACTCATGCCTGGGCACTTTTTTACTCAAGGGTAGTGCTCTACCACATTGAGCTACAGCGCCACTACCAGTTTTCTGATGGTTAATTGGAGATAAGAATCTCACAGACTTTTCTGCCCAGGCTGGCTTCAAACTGCAAATCTCAGATCTCAGCCTTCTGAGTAGCTAGAATTGCAGGCATGAGCCACCAGCACCTAATGAGCGACACTGAGTATCTTAAGGCTGGAAGAAAGAAAACCATTTATGGATAAAGAATACAACATTCTTTATGAATCTGGTAATTTTTGACAATGAATCCATAAAACTCTGGCTTCTGCTGAGTAAACAAAACAAGTGATGGTAGATTTTTCAGTTCACTTTTTAGCTGTTGCCCTGAAAGCTTGATAAATGTAGATTAACAGCTATAATCCTTAGCAACATTATTGATAATTTAAAAAAAATGGCTGAGTAGCAAAATGGTGGGTGGCAGTCAGCGGGTCAGTAGATCATGCATAGCTTGTAGGTATGCTGTTCTGTGTATTAGCTCTTCTAAATGGGAACTGACGTCTCTTTCAGGATTATTAGAAGGTTGGTCTGTAGAGTTGTTCTAAGAAGTATTGATAGGAAGCAAAGTAGGAGGATTGTAGTTTGTCAGCCTAGAAAAAGTCAGTGTGAAGCTCTACCTGAAAAACTAAAAATCAAAAAGAAAAGTGTCGGGCAGGCACTGGTGGCTCATGCCTGTAATACTATATATTCAGGAGGCTGAAATCTGAGGATCACAGTTCAAAGCCAGCCTGGGCAGGAAACTCCATGAGACTCTTATATCCAATAAACTACTCAAAAAAGCTGCAAGTGGCACTGAGGCTAAGTTGGTAGAGAGCAAAAGAAGCTCAGGGACAGTGCCCAGGCCCAGAATTCAAGCCTCAGGACCAGCAAAATAAAGTGCTGGAGGTATGGCTCAAGTGGTAGAGTACTTGTCTAGCAAGTGTGAAGCCCTGAGTTAAATGTGGGAGGGAGATATTGACTTGTGTGAGCCCTGGGACTTCTAAGCCTGAATAGCTTCTTCATATTTAGCCTCTTTCTGTAGAAACCCAGGGGAGAACAAAGATAATATTTGTTGGACAGCTATGGGGCCTTCCAATGGAGAGAAGAGATTGACATTGTTGAGGAGGTGTATTTCTTATAGAAGATGCATCTAAGGAATTCTGAATGCCAAATGTGGCCATGACAGATATGTAAATCTGAATACCTAGGTGAACCTAAGAAGATGCTATTGTGGATGCCATACTGACTTAAAAGTGCTGTACAGGGGCTGGGAATGTGGCTTAGTGGTAGAGTGCTTGCCTAGCAGGCATGAAGCCCTGGGTTCAATTCTTCTGTACCATATACACAGAAAAAGCTGGAAGTGGCACTGTGGCTCAAGTGGTAGGGTGCTAGCCTTGAGCAAAAGCAGTTCAGGGACAGTGCCCAGTCCCTGAATTCAAGCTCCAGGATTGGCCAAAAAAAAAAAAAAAAAAAAGTGGTGTACAGGCATCAGAGCAGGAGGGAAGACTGGGGTCTGCCCTGTGGTGGTCACACAGAAAGCAATTCAAGCAGAGAAGACTGAAGCTCTGATCTAAAATGGGGAGAAACAATCAGCACAACTTTCTGAGCTGCTTATGACCCTCTTTGTTACCAAACACACATGTTTTGACCCACCCCAAGAGTCTTTAAAGGATATGCTCACCTTCACTTGGTAGTTTCCAGTTACCAGGAAATTGGAACTGTTGATGTTTCTATGGAGTTGAAGTGGTTCTGAATAGTGCAACCTGACATGACCAAAGGGAAGAGGGCATTAATGACTTTTGCACACAATCATTACTGGCTAGAGCATGCCTGGCTAATGGTAGCTATCCATGGAGAGCCCAGAAACTTAGATAAAGAGGTGGGATTTGACAGTGTGCTGAATCTAGTAGAGCTGAGATGTGTCAGATAGGTCAGGGTGACAATCCTTGAGAAGTATGTGTACTAGGGGTCACTTTAGGTAGAAAATATTTAAGAATACTATATATATATATATATATATATATTTTTTTTTTTTTTTTTTTTTTTTTTTTTTGTCGGTCATGGGGCCTGAACTCTGGGCCTGGGCGCTGTCCCTCAGCTCTTCAGCTCAAGGCTAGCGCTCTACCACTTGAGCCACAGCGCCACTTCCGGCTTTTTTTTTCTTTTTGCTTAAGTGGTGCTGGGGAATCGAACCCCGGGCCTCAGGCATATAAGGCAAGCGCTCTACCACTGAGCCACCTTCCCAGCCCAAGGCCATCTACTTTAGAAGTGGGGATTAGGAGGATCTTGGTTCAAGGCCAGCCTAGGTAAAAAAGTCTACATTGCAACAAATGGTTGTGTGTGGTGATATATGCTGTCAGCCCAACTACGTGGGGAACATAAGAGGAGGATTACAGTCCAGTATAGCTTGGAGAAAAGTGGGAGATTTTATTCCCCCAAATAACTAAGAAGCAAAGAAAAAAAAGGGGGTGGGGCTAGCAGGGTGCCAGTGGCTCATGCCTATAATCCTCGCTACTCAGGAGGCTGAGATCTGAGGATTGTGGTTCAAAGCCAGACCAGACAGGAAAGTCTATGAGACTTTTTCCTCCAACTAACTCTTTTTTTTTTTTTTTGTCGGTCGTGGGGCTTGAACTCTGGGCCTGGGCGCTGTCCCTCAGCTCTTCAGCTCAAGGCGAGCGCTCTACCACTTGAGCTACAGCGCCACTTCCGGTTTTCTGGTGGTTTATTGGAGATAGGAGTCTCACGGTCTCTCCTGCCCGGGCTGGCTTTGAACCGCGATCCTCAGATTTCAGCCTCCTGAGTAGCTAGGATTACAGGCGTGAGCCACCAGCACCCGGCTCCAACTAACTCTTTTTCAGTGTGTACCAGTTCTGGGGCTTGACTCAGGGCTTAGGCAGTCCCTGAGCTTCTTTTGCTCAAGGCTAATACTCTTATCACTTGATACCACTTGAGCCACAGCGCCACTTGTGGCTTTTTCCTTTGTATGTGGTACTGAGGAATGGAACCCAGGGCTTCATGCATGCTAGGCAAGCGCTCTACCACTAAGCCACATTCCCAGCCCCTCCAACCTAACTCTTCAGTTAACCACAAATAAGCTGGAAGTGGCTAACCTTGAGCAAAAAAAGTTCTGGAACAGTGTCCAAGTCCTGAGTTCAAACCCCAGGACTAGCATACACACACACACACACACACACACACACACACACACACACACACACACACACACACACGCTAAAGAAAAACATTTTGGTGCTGGTGGTTCATGCCTGTAATCCTAGCTACTTAGAAGGCTGAGATTTGAGGATTGTGGTTCAAAGCCAGCCCTGGCAGGAAAGTCCACGAGACTGTCATCTCTAATAAACTACTCAGAAAAGGCTAGAAGTGGTGCTGTGGCTCCAAGTGGTAGAACACTAGCATTGAGCACAAAGATGCTCAGGGAGAGTGCCCAGGCCCTGAGTTCAAGCCCCTGGACCAGCAAACCCCCCTCCCCCATTTATTGTTCACATAAGACTTGGTTTATCTGAAAGTCAGTTATATCTCACGTAATATTTAGTATATATTTATATGAAATGTTTAATTATTCATAAAAATATTCTGCACTTCAATTTGAACCAGATATTGTGTATTGTTATCTGCTAAATCAGGCAGTTCTAGTAGTCAGGCCTATCTACAAGAGAAACCTGACACTGATTCAAGAGGGTTGATGCTTACTAGATTACACTTGCTATCTAAGGTGTTATAAACAGAGTGAACACAGCAACAATAGATGGAACAGAGACTATCTGGGGGTTCCAGCCTATTCTCCTATGAATCTTTGTTGGTGCCATTTTACCCCATGTGGTACCTGTATAAACCTCTGGCTGCCTCCAGGATTAGGTGGATTCGCATACCCAATGAAAGATCCTTTTTGTCCTCCAACAGTTCCCGTAGGGTACCGAGCTCACAGTACTCCATGACGATAGAAAATCGAGGCAGATTGTCTGGTGGAGAGGAACCAGATGCTGTGAGGAACTAGTCCCACCCAGAGCTCCTCCTACCTGCAGGTCACCTCTCCCTTTCTGCAGAGGTACCTCAGCTCTGCTGTGAACCTCATTTCTCCCACAACTCTACACTTCTGCCTCACAGTTTACTCCATGCTATACTGAATGGATCAAATGCTCCTAGAATTCTCATTCTCTTCATGGCTCTTGAAATGTTGTCATTTTTACATTGAGGAATCATTTGAGAAATATCTTCTACAGCTGGGTGCTGGTGGTTATACCCTTAGTTACTCAAGAGGCTGAGATCTGAAGATTAAGGTTTGAAGCCAGCCCAGGTAGAGTCTGTGTGACTCTTATATCCAATTAACCACCCAAGAAACATATTCATGAAGAGCTTGACCAATCCTTGAAGTCTCCTTACCTGATTTATCAATGCAAATACCAAATATACGAAGGATGTTGGGAGAATCAAATTTCTTCATGGCTCTGATTTCATTATTAAAAGGATGTCTCACTACCCTGGAGGGTAACAGGGGAAAGTAGTATTTTAGAACTAGAAATTCCCTTAAAGAGCATGTAAAGCCTGATGGCTCATGCCTGTAATCCTAGCTACTCAGGAGGCTGAGAGCTGAGGATCGAGGTTCAAAGCCAGTTCCAGACTCTTATCTCCAATAAACCACCAGAAAACCAGAAGTGGCACTGTGGCTCAAGTGGTGAAACGCTTGCCTTGAGCTGAAGAGCTGAGGGACAGCGCTCAGGCCAGAGTTCAAGCCCCACAACCGACACACACACAAAAAAGAACATGTAGTAAGTACAGTGTGTGTGTGCGGGGAGGGGGGAGGGAGGGGCGGGGGGGGGGGGGAGTTCGGATGTGTGTGTATGTGGGTGTTGGGGGATAATGAGATAGCATCAGCATCTCCCAGGGAGGTTGTTCAGTTGCTCATAATGACAGCATGTATAACCCCTCAGATGAACTTAGGTTCCCTGAAGAGATGAATGGAGTTTGGTAATCTCTTTTTGGCATTTCAAATAGCCTGACAAAGATTGCATTTTGTTGTTGTTGCTGTTCAGTTGTGGGGCTTGAGCTGAGGGCCTGGGTGCAGTACTATCCCTGAGTTCTTTTTGCTAAAGGCTACCACTCTACCATTTTGTTTTTGTTTTTGGGTCCGGTCGTGGGGCCTGAACTCTGGGCCTGGGCACTCTCAGCTCTTCAGCTCAAGGCTAGTGCTCTACCACTTGAGCCACAGCACTATTTCTGGCTTTTTTTCTTTTTGCTTATGTGGTTCTGAGGAATCGAACCCAGGGCCTCAGGCATGCAAGGCAAGCGCTCTACCACTGAGCCACCTTCCCAGCCCGAGATAAAGTCTTAATGCATATGACAGAACAACTTACTCAATGCTTCTGGCCTTGGCTTTGTTGAATACTTTTATGGCCACTGTAGATTTGAAATACTCTCCTGTGTAAACAGTACTGTGTTCGCTTTCCTTTATTCGGGTCCACGGGGATCCTGAAAGGTCTTCCATCTTAATCTCTTTGATTTGCACCTGCTGTCCAGGTTGCTCTTGGTTGATTTGCTCCTGCTGCCTGAATTTCTCTTGGTCTGACTTCATTTCTTGGATAGGAGGAGACAAAAGGCCAATCACCAAAGAAAGTGCCTAGGGGCAAGTGGTTTCTGGGATGTGAATGGGAGTTTTACACCAGGTTGGGAATTGGCTCTGGCTGGATACAAAATTCAGGGGAGCGATTCTCTGCTTTTGAGTGACCCACAGAGACGCAGGTGGAAGTTTGGCAGAGAGTTTCACGAACTTCCTTTTTTTTTTTTTTTTGCCAGTTGTGGGGCCTGAACTCTGGGTCTGGACGCTGTCCCTCAGCAATTCAGCTCAAGGCTAGCGCTCTATCACTTAAGCCACAGCACCACTTTTGGCTTCTTCTACTTGTGTAGTGCTGAGGAATTGAACCCAGGGCCTCATGAATGCAAGGCAAGCACTCTACCACTGAGCCACCTTCCCAGCCCCTCATGAACTTCTTTGATTCCTCTTCCAATTTTGCCTCTTTCCAGCCTTCACTTGTGTTTTGCTCATCCTAGAGTTCTCCCTCCTTGTATTTCTTTCCACACATCCTTCCTTGCAGGGGGGCAACTAGCACCCTGTCTAGCCATTTCAGACTAGTTCAAGTATATAGTACCTATACCTCTACTTATTATGTGTTCATTGTATTGCTCCCTGCCACCCCTTTTCTACCCTTAAGCCATTTGCTTCGTGAAGACACTGTTCTTCTTTACATCTTAGATCCCTCTGTGCACAGCCTATGGCATAGAAGCAGATTCTCAGTTTTCTTGAATGAATGATCTAGGACTCTAAATTTTTCTGTGCCAGTCCTGGGACTTGAACTTAGGGCCTGGGCATTGTCCTTGAGTTTCTTTTGCTCAAAACTTGGTGCTCTATCATTTGAGCCACAGCTCTTCTTCTGACTTTTTTGGTGCTTAATTGGAGATAAGAGTCTCATAGACTTTTCTGCCTGGGCTGGTTTGCAACCTCAACCCTCAGATCTCAGTAGCTATGATTACAGGTGTGAGCCACTGGAGCCCAACTAGCACTTTATAAATTTGAGTTTAATTTCGCCTTGACATTCAGCAAGTGAGTTAAAGCGTTGATGATGCTATAGCTTGGATCTGGAGTGTCCTCTAATGGCTTATATATTCAAAGTCTACAAGGTGTGGCTTTTGGAAAGTAGAAGCATTAAGAAGAGGAGCCTAGATTATTGAAGGCATGCCCCCAGAGGGGATTCTCTCTCTCTCTCTCTCTCTCTCCCTTTATTTTGCCAATCCTGGGGCTTGAACTCAGAGCCTAGACACTGTCTCTGAACTTCTTTTGCTCAAGGCTAGTGCTCTGCCACTTGAGCCACAGTGCCACTTCCAGTTTTATCTGTTATGTGGTAGCAAGGAATCAAACCCAGGGCTTCATGCATGCTATGTAAACACTACCACTAAAGCCACATTCCCAGCTGTGTCTCTTTTCTTATTGCCTCTCTTCCTGTCTATGAGGAAAGTGGTCTTTCTCCACCATAAGCTCATCTTATAAGCCAAAATAAACCTTCTTTCCTTGGGTATTGTTACTGTAAACAGAAAGCTGACTGATACAGATGCTTTAAATGTAAAGGAAGAATTTAGCATTTTGACATCAGGAAATACCTTGCTGGTCAAGAGTACTCTTCCCAATACTACTCCATGGACAAGAATGGGTTATATGAACACATCTGAAAATCTGTAAGCTGCTTTCAGCCAGCTAGCACAGAAACTGATCAGGGCAAGGGTAGGGAAAGCTAGAGTTCCTTGAAAACAGATGATTTCAAAAAGGAGAAGCTGATTACAAAAGGAGGCATGACAACTTACGCTTCAAGGTATTCTGAATTTCTTTCAGGGTAGCTTCTAGATTTTTATTTTCTGCAGGCAAAAGGGCAATGATTATTCAGAAGTGCTAACTAGAACCACATGCTAACCATAATCAAAATGTTCGTTACATCATCAAGATACCATTTTTTGTTGTTATTGTTGTTGTTGGTTGTGGGGCCTGAACTCTGGGCCTGGGCACTGTCCCTCAGCTCTTCAGTTCAAGACTAGTGCTCTACCACTTGAGCCACAGAGCTGCTTCCGGCTTTTTCTGCTTATGTGGTGCTGAGGAATAGAACCCAGGGCCTCATGCATGCAAGGCAAGCGCTCTTCCACTGAGCCACCTTCCCAGCCCCAACATACCAATTTTTATCTATCATAGACATTGTGAAAAGAAATAACTATAAAATAACTATAATAACTAAATAACAATATTTAGCTATCTGTAGCAAACTACACAGGAAACGCCTGAATTGAAAACCTGGCTTTAGGTTGCTTTGGCTAAGAAAGAAAGTGGAAAATCAGTCACTTCCCAGTGGTAGCAGTACTTTGACGCTACACCAAGTTCCAACATGGCTGTGGCTGCTTTGGGAATGGGAAATCTAGGTCAGCATGGAAGTACCATACTGCTGAAAGCATCCCTAGGGGAAAGTCCGTTTGGAGGGTCTCATGGACTTTGCCTGAATAAACTTGTTTCTGGAAAACATTATACTGATGATACTGTTTTAACTAGCAGCATAATAAAACCACTCCTAAGTTATATAATACTTCACTGTGACCCATATTCCCAGTTTCCCAGAACTGGATAATTATTTTCTTTTCCTTCCTTCCTTGCTTTCTTTCTTTTTCTTTTCTTTTCTTCTTCTTCTTTTTTTTTTTTTTTTGGTCTAAGACCAGGACTCAAACTTGATGCCTGATTCTTTTGCTAATTGGCTAGCACTCTATGAATTGAGCCATATTCCTAACCCAGAACTGGAAATTATAAGGACACAGGATCTTCAGTACTAAAATTAAGAAAGTCTCGAATGGAAAAAATTGGAGAAACAATCTCATCCATTATTGATAGAAAAGATAGTTGGGCAACCTTTATTTAACTAACTATACCAAAATTTAAAATGCCTTCTTCTTTGATCCTGCAATTAGAGCTTGTAAGTCCATTGAATAAAATAGATCCTACAGTTACCTGAAATGCAATCAAATATTCTGTGAGATAAATATGCTTACTGGTGGTTAGCAGATGTTAAGACTTTTTTGTGTCAGTCCTAGGGCTTGAACCCAGGGGCTGGGCACTGTCTCTGAGCTTCTTTTGCTCAAGGTTAGCACACTACCACTTGAGCCACAGCTCCACTTCCAGCTTTTTCTGTTTATGTGGTACTGAGGAATCGAACCCAGGGCTTCATGCATGCTAGGCAAGCACTCTACCACTAAACCATATTCCCAGCCCAGATGTTAGGATTTCTTTCTTTCTTTTTTTTGGTTGGTCGTGGGGCCTGAACTCCGGGCCTGGGCACTGTCCCTCAGCTCTTTAGCTCAAGGCTAGCGCTCTACCACTTCAGCCACAGTGCCACTTCCAGCTTTTTCTGCTTATGTGGTGCTGAGGAATTGAACCCAGGGCCTCATGCATGCAAGGCAAGTACTCTGCCACTGAGCCACCTTCCCAGACCAGATGTTAGGATTTCTGAACCACAAATATCCTGTTCAAACTTCATCCTTCCTGCTCCAAAGGTAGAGTAAACCGAAGTGAGATTAAGATGCTCCCAATTGCATCCTCTCCCGAGCTTGGAAAACCCTCAAGTTACCTAATTCTCTGAGCCTTTGGTGGGATTGCTTATCCTCCAGTACATCACGCTGATCTTCCTTTTCCCAGGAGCGGAGAAAATGCTGATCAATCTGAAGTGTCATGGAGAACACCTCCCAGACATTTCTCAACTTCTCATTCACTTCCTGGAACAGTATCTTATCCTTGTCCGCACTTAGAAACCTGTAGAAGTTGGTTTTCTTGTTGAAATGTTCTATCCGCTGCTTAGCTTCCAGCAGTGCCAGTTCAAAATCATCCAGGACTTTGATGATGTGTTCAGACATGTTCCTTTCTCCTTGGTCCTGAAGCCTCTGCAAAGCCCATATCAGGCCCTTCACACGCTCTCCTAGACGCTCACTCTGTTTCTTGCAGTACTTCATCTTTTCACACTGTTTGTAGACGCCTTGGCCCAAGGCAATGATCGGCCCCAGTTTATCCATAACTGAAAGAAAAAGATGGAATAGGTTAAAGTCCCAGAATCTCCTGCACATTTATTACAGTGCTAAAAAGAAAGTCTCTGGCATTTTCGTGTAAGGTAGAGATGACGTCATGCCCACCACATCTGTTCTGCCCACCACTTCTGTTCCAGCATCGCAGAGCTCAAGCTGGAAGTGTTGGTCTAGCGACCACTGCATTTTAATTTCTAGGAACTTACATGGTAGAAAAGTCTGTATGTGAGCTGACTGTGGCTTAGTGGAACAGTGCTTGCCTAGCATGCATGAGGCCCTGGGTTTGATTCCTCAGTACCACATAAACAGAAAAAGCTGGAAGTGGTGCTCTGACTCAAGAGGTAGAGTGCTAGAGCGTTGAGCAAAAGATGCTCGGGCTGGGAAGGTGGCTCAGTGGTAGAGTGCTTGCCTTGCATGCATGAGGCTGTAGGTTCAATTCCTCAGCACCACATAAGCAGAAAAAGCTGGAAGTGGCATGTGGCTGAAGTGGTAGAGAGCTAGCCTTGAGTTGAAGAGGTGAGGGACAGTGCTCAGGCCCTGAGTTCAAGCCCCAAGACTGGCAAAAAAATAAAAATAAAAATAAAAGAAAGAAAAGAAAAGAAAGGAGCTAGATGTTTGTAGAGGAATGTAAGCGTAAAATGAAATAACCCTAAGAATATATCCAGATGTTACTTGTAGTGAAACAATGAGGAAATGCTAATTTTCAAAGTGAAAGAGTTGGGTGTGGCTCAAATGTTAAAGAGAGCCTTGCCTGGCAAGTCCTAGGCTTGGCATTTAAACTGTCCCTTAACCCCCTCCCCAAAGCGGGAACAAATCTTAAAAAAATGAACCTACTTTGGCTACTCAGGAGGCTGAGATTTGAAGCTTGCACTTCAAGGCTAGCCCAGTCAGAACAGTCCATGAGACTCTTATCTCCAATTAACCAGCAGAAACCCGGAAGTGGTGCTGCGGCTCAAGTGGTACAGGGCTAGTCTTGAGCTGAAGAGCTCAGGGAACAGCACCCAGGCCCAGAGTTCAAGCCCCACCACCAACCAAAAAAACACAAACAAACCAATAACAACAACAATAACCAAAATTGAAGCTACTCTTCAGCATCTCCATCCAAGTAATATAATACAATAAGAAACTATGAGTCCACCAGGCATCCTCATTGAATCTTCGGCTTCCCTCCACTCTCCACTCACATCCAGGGCCAGAAATGGGCTCCAGACAATGAGAAGCACTGTCATCCCTTGAGACCCGAAATCAGGGCTGGTGGGAGTGCTCTCCAGTCCAGGGCAGCTCAGACAGGTCTGAGCCAGGTCAGGTCCCCAGCCTCCGCCCCTCTGCCATCTTCACCCCTGATTCTGCCCTGCCTTGGCACAGGTAGGTAGCTCCCTCCTCCATCCCCTGAGCGGAAACCACAGTCGCCCTGAGTTCCTGGAATTGGGGGGCCTCCACCAGGCTTTCCCTTCTCTGCTCGGCCCCGATCCCCCCTCCCAATCCGTGTACCCCAGGTTCCCCCGAGCGCTCACTCCGGGGATTAGTGGCGGTGGTCCCGTGTCCCGGCGCCCCTTCCTCGGATACTTGGCGTGCGCGCTGCGCGCTGCGGGACCCGCGGGTTCCGTTTCCTCTAAAGCGAAACCGTGGTCACCCCAGCTGCATCCAGCCCAGCCCTGGTCCCGGCCAGCCTGCTGGGCGGCCCCGGAAGCCAGCACCGAAGAAGAAGGCCAGGGAAGGTGTGGCATGCCTCTTCGGGGCTCCCAGCTGCCAACTGCCTAGAACTGAGGCCCTGGGGCCCTGCCCTTTCCAGGTAACTCCCGGTAACGCAGAGCCAGCGCCCTTCCGTCCTCCTGTCCCTTCCCAACAGATTCCCTGGGGAGCAGCCTGGCCAACGTCGGGGACCGGGAGAGGATGACTCCAGGGAACTGGTACCACCAGGATATACTATATAAACAGGCTGGAAGTTGAGCCCAAACCAGCAACTAAGATTCTGTTTCTTTGAGCTGAATTCTACGGTTTGGTTTGGTTTGGTTTGGTTTGGTTTGGTGACAGAGTGTGGCTATGTCTTTTAGATTGGCCTCAAACTCAGATTTCCTGAGTGCTGGGAAGAAAGCTCTGAACTACCATGCCTGAGGTACTACATAAATAAACTTGGGGAACCAGAGAACAAAAGAGGTAAGTATCTTCCAGATTTGCCTGACAGGTTTGGCTTCAATCGGAGATCCTCAGATCTCAGCCTCCTGAGTAATTACGATTACAGGCGTGAGCCACCAGCACCCAATAGAGTTTATATTTTCTATATATAAATTCCTTGTCAGATAATGTCATTTCCAAAGGGTGGAAATAACTGGACAAAAAAAAAAAAAAAAAAAGAATATGGGCCGGGCACTGGCTCACACCTGTAATCCTAGCTACTCAGGAGGCTGAGATCTGATGATTGTAGTTCAAAGCCAGCCCAGGCAGGAAAGTCCCTGAGACTCTTATCTCCAATTAACTACCCAAAAGCCAGAAATGGAGCTGTGGCTCAAAGTGATAGAGCACAAAAGCTCAGGTACAATATCCAGGCCCTGAGTTCAAGCCCCAGGACCAGTACACACAGAAAGAATATAACCTAAACCTCGTACACTATACAAATAACCTAAATGGATCATAGATTTAAATGATCAGCTATATTGTGTGAGCCACCAGTGCTTGGCTTTCAAAAAGCTCTTTATCCACTTGCAGCACTTAGAGAGGTAGCGTTCTCTTTGGGTCACTCTTATCTTGAGGCTGTAACTCTTTGGGTCTGTAACAGATCATCTGCTCTCTGTCCCTCTGTCCTGGATTTCAGTGGTGATGGAAGGTTCTGTGGAACTCTGTGTCAATCTCAGTTGCAGCCACCGTTCAGTGGGAAACTCCCCAAAGCCACCAGCCCACTTGTACTGATGGCCCTCCACCTCAAACACACTCCTCCATCTTCCTGCTTTTGCACAAGGACCTTTGTCAAGGCCAGGGAAATCTGCTTGGTTGGTGCGATGGTTTGAATGTGATTGGTCCCCACCAAAACTCACATTGAGCTTTAATTCCCCAATGTAAGAGAAGTCTTTAAGATGCAGTAATGCTGTCTTGGGGGTATTTCTATGCAAACCTGGAACTTCCCCTTAAACCTTTCTCCCCACATGCTTTGCCATGGTACCATCTACCATGATAGGATGCAACCAGAGGCCAAACAGATGGAGCTACTAGCTATGGGATTCTTAGCTTCCCAAATAAGTGTTTTTTCTTTATAAAATATCCAGTCTCAGGCATTTTGCTATAGCAACATGAGATGAACTATGACAGTTTGTATGATGGAGGTAGATATTAATTGTGTTTATGTGTGTGTGGGATTTGATGTGCCTAAGACAATCTTAAACCAGTGTAGGTGGAAATGACAGGTAAATGTTCCCCTTTTCATTCTTTTTTTTTTTTTTCTTTTTGGCCAGTCCTGGGGCTTGAGTCAGGGCCTGGGTACCATCCCTGAGCTTCTTCTTCTTCTTCTTTTTTTTTTTTTTGGACCGGTCGTGGGGCCTGAACTCTGGGCCTGGGCGCTGTCCCTCAGCTCTTCAGCTCAAGGCTAGCGCTCCACCACTTGAGCCACAGCGCCACTTTCGGCTTTTTTCTTTTTGCTTATGTGGTGCTGAGGAATCGAACCCAGGGCCTCAGGCATGCAAGGCAAGCGCTCTACCACTGAGCCACCTTCCCAGCCCCCCTGAGCTTCTTTTGCTCAAGGCTAGCACTCTACTACTTGAGCCACAGTGCCACTTCTGGTACCAGAGCTTCATCCATGTTAAGCAAGCACTCTATTGCTAAGCCACATTCCCAGCCCCCCTTTTTATTCTTTAAGTAGACAATCCTGTCGGGTATTATTGATGCCCATGCAGAATTTATGTTTTGTTGATCATGAGGCTTGAACTCAGGACCTAGGTGCTGTACCTGAGCTCTTTTGCTGAAGGTTAGCACTCTACCACCTTGAGCCACAGTACCACTTCCGGTTTTCTGGCAGTTAACTGGAGATAAGAGTCTCACTCTCTTGAGTAGCTAGGATTACAGACGTGATCTACAGTGTTGGCTATGCAGAGTTTTTATGAGAAACTCGTACACATTCTAGCATGGATCTCACAATCATTCCTTTCCCAGCCCTTCTCAACCTATTCTCCTCACCTCTGCAATTCTCTCTCAAATACTTGCATCTGTGATCTTGCTTTAGGTTTTGCATTTCCAAGAACCTAATTGAAGTAAGAACCTCACTTTTAGACTTTAGTGAAAACAGGAGATTTTCTTCTAATTTCTTCTTTTCCTTGGCTATAGATGTCTGAGATGGAGGGAAGATGATGGGAGGTCTAGCATTTTCTAAGTTTCACATTCATCCTGTAGCTTTCTTTGTGGATAAAATTCATTCATCAGGCAAACCACCTGTGAAGAAAACTGCAGGTGAAACTTCACATATATTGTACTTTTTAGAAAGTTAGAACTGTGAAGTTTATATAAATCAATTTTCTTCTCAAAACATGACAGATGAGACAAGAAAGTAAGTCAAAAGCAACGTTATTTTTGTTTTTTGCCAGTCCTGGGGCTTGAACTCAAGGCCTAGGCACTGTCCCTGAACTTCTTTTGCTCAAGGCTAATACTCTACCACTTGAGGCACAGTGCCACTTCTGGCTTTGTCTGTGTACGTGGGGCTGAGGAATTGAACCCTGCATGCTTCATGCTAGCATGCTTCATGCATGCTAGGCAAACATTCTACCACTGAACTAAAGGGCTGGGTGCTATCCTTTAGCTTTTTTTTTCAAGGCTAGTGCTCTATCACTTGAGCCACAGCTCTACTTCCAGCTTTCTCTGGTTAATTGGAGATAAGAGTATCATGGATTTTCCTGCCCAAGCTGGCTTTGAACCTTGATCCTCAGATCTCAGCCTCCAGAGTAGCTAGGATTACTGGCGTGAGCCACCAGTGCTGGCTTAGCACTGGAATCTTGAAATCACAGACACCCTTTTTCCAGAACGCTGCTTTATGATGGCAGTCATAATGGGCAGGGTTGCATGCTGCCACCAGAGGGCAGCAGAGGCCAGGGAAGAGGTAAAGAAGAAGGAAAAACAGAGAAACAACCAGCCAACCCAGATAACATTATTGGCCAGGGATGGGAAGGAAAGAAGACTTGACATTTATGGGGCCCTGTTATAAGTTGGTTATTATACTGGAAATCTCATAAAATTCAGAGGTAGAGATCAGAAGCCAGAGCCAAGGGAGGACTGGCATGAAGCAGAATGGAGAGAGCAGTTTTTCTGGCCTGCCCAACGACAACAGGTCTGAAAGATTAAGCACTACTCCAGACTGAAATTCAAGGCGCTGGGCCCATTCTTAGGAAGGCTGAGTATCTGATGGAGGACCAGGCAAGGCAAATCACCAGGATCATGAAGGTTAATTTGCAAATTTATATTGATCAGAATTTCTAGTTTTTCTCCTGAGCAAATGTTCAACTTTCTCTTTTAAAAAATTATTCAAATTAGGGGCTGGGAAGGTGGCTCAGTGGTAGAGCGCTTGCCTTGCATGCCTGAGGCCCTGGGTTCGATTCCTCAGCACCACATAAGCAAAAAGAAAAAAGCCAGAAGTGGGGCGCTGTGGCTCAAGTGGTAGAGCGCTAGCCTTGAGCTGAAGAGCTGAGGGACAGTGCCAAGGCCCAGAGTTCAGGCCCCACTACCGGACCAAAAAAAAAAATTATTCAAATTATACAGTTTAATTCTTGTGGGCCTTCTCAGTGATTATTATCTTGATCAATCAAAGCAGACAAAAGTCCAGGTGCTGATGACTCACACCTATAATCCTACCTACTCAGGAGCTGAGATCTGAGCATCCTGGTTCAGAGCAAAACATCTAACTGTGAAGATAGGTGCAGAGCCAGCGCGGATAGAAAAATCCTTATGACTCTTTTTTTTTTTTTTTGTTGGTCGTGGAGCTTGAACTCTGGGCCTGGGCGCTGTCCCTCAGCTCTTCAGCTCAAGGCGAGCACTCTACCACTTGAGCTACAGCGCCACTTCCGGTTTTCTGGTGGTTTATTGGAGATAGGAGTCTCACGGTCTCTCCTGCCCGGGCTGGCTTTGAACCGCAATCCTCAGATCTCAGCCTCCTGAGTAGCTAGGATTACAGGCGTGAGCCACCAGCGCCCGGCTCCTTATGACTCTTACCTTCAATTAACCAGCAAAAAGCTGGAAGCAGAAGTGTACATGAAGTGATAGAGCACCAGTTGTAAGCAGAAAAAGCTGAGCAAGAGCACGAGGCCCTGAGTTCAAGCCCTAAAACAAGCACAGCCACTGGCATGCGTGTGCACGCGTGTGTGTGCGCACACGCACACGCACACACACACAAAGCAGATAGAGGAAGTTGGACAGACAGACACACACACAAAGCAGATAGAGGAAGTTGGACAGAAAAATGGCTATCATGGTCTTCGGTGTTAGTAAATTATAACTTTAAAAAACCCTCAGTTCTTACCTGGTCATAAAAAGCTTGCTTTATTGTTAGCAATGAGTAATAGTATAAAACAAAAAGGAATAAAATCTCTAAGTTAAAATGTTTATTTTTGTTAGGATAGCAGACAGTGATCCTGTCTATAATTATAATAAAACTTTCCCTCTCTTTGGAATGGAAA